AGCTTTAGGTCTTCATCCCATCCCACGAATTCCCATCTACATTGTCCTGGTGGCGTGGAGTATGGCGGCGGGAATTAGTATCTTGGGAGGAAGTGGAGTGGTGAAGAATAGAGTGGGCTTGGCGGTCTTTCCTCTGTTTGTGTTTTATTTGATGTTGGGGGCGCTTTGTTTTATTTCTTAGGGTTTGGTGGGTTTGGGGGGTTTGAGGAGGGGAAATGGGGGGAGGGGAGAGGGGAGAGAATGGAGAGAAGTGGATGGGATATGAAAGGGAGGGAAAGTTGTGATTTGGAGAGATAGCGGGGTGGAGTGGAGAAGTGAATATGATTTGAAAAGAAAGGAAAATGAAGGGAATGGTAAAGGGAAGATGGGTAGGCTAGGGAAATTGAGGAGTCTTTTGCGAGGAGTGGAAATATTGATATTTTATTCGATTCGTCGCCCCCGAATACCAAAACTGTTATTACTATTAATAAGTATCCCTAGCGTAAACCAAATCTTGGAGTGAACCGAAGTTTTGAATTGTTGACACGGAGTTGCTTGTTAAATACTTATTAAACACCATGTCCTGCTATCTGAAATTTCCTGGTTGTATGTAGCGTATCAGCTTTTGATTCTCTCTATTTATATCACTGGGATTTTTTGTGATAAAATGAGATTGGGAAGAGGAAGAAGAAGGAGAAGATTTAAAATCATAGCATACATAGGTGTGAGTTTGAGTAGGTATCTTTGGTATCTTTTCCACATGTGCATCTTGTTTGGGTTTACTCATTTATGCTGATATTGAAAACATAGGGGAATAGCATGTCTTATATAGTCTTCATTCTTGATTTATCCAGTCTAATCCCTCTAACACGGTGGGTTAATGGATAGGAAGTGAATTGTTGATGATTGGATAGATAGTTTGTTATAGTGAGAATTCCCGAGACCTCGGGAGAGAAAGGGCGTCATGATTCACTTGGAGCTCCCTCCCCCCTTTATCTCCCTGTTTCTTTTCTCTCAAGTTTAAAAGCATCTGACCCGACTCGCTGGTGCCAAAGAAAAAATTGTTAATGCGGAATCCCAGTATACACAGGATGATAATGTTCAGTGAGCAGGATTAACGACTTCATCAGCGAATATCCTGACTGTGTTATGGAAAATGTACTTTGATGATTCAGTATTACACATATCGACTGATATAAACTCGCAAAAGAAGTTAAGTGTCGAACTTTATGATGGATTCAGAGTTTATTTCTACTTGACTATATTGGCAGTCACTGTCCATGTCCATTTTCACCAATTATGGTTAACTTACATTCTCGAGTGTTGTCATCTTACCATTCAATTCTTGTCATTCTTTCGATTCTTGTCGTCTGGGGAGTAATCGTACTTTTACTTTTCTCTACTTCTGTTACCAATTTTGGCAGAGGCAAAATATCAGAAATTCTGAAGCCCTCCCTAGCTAGAAATCGAGGAAGTTATGATAAACTCAACCTGCCTCTTTTTTACTTCATTATCATATTAGACCTAGGAAGAAAGCACTAGCTCATGATTGCTGTTGCCTTTTATATCCTTGAATTTGCTGACACTAGTATGTCCTGGTATTATCGGTAAAAATCGCTAGATTGAGAGGGATTGGAGTAATTATGTATCCTATCCATACAAATAGGGAGTTCGAAAGAGACACGTATTAAGTGAACACCTACTCCCTATTGAGACTTCCAAGGTTACATATGAAAACGTATTCGTGGCTTAGAATTTGAAAACTCAGCATAAGGAATGAAATCCGATTGCGGCAAATAGTATACATGTATGAGTAATAGTCGTCTCTACTCCATGCGAGCAAGTACTCCTTGAGAATGATCTTAAACTTCCCATTCAATTTCTCTCTTTGAATATGGACCTCTGATTTTTATACTTCCAAATAGTAAAGAGAAGAATTCCTATCATGAATCATTTCCATTGTCATTATTCAAACGCTGTGATACCTCTCGCTGTCAAAACTCACATATAGAACCCAAACTTCGTAACTTAAACATAGTCGCCATTGTCTGCGGGAGACCGAAGCAAGAAAATCTCGCGATATATGTAGGGAAATGTGCGATCGTAGCATCACCACATGTACCGTGGTGTCAGGTATCTCTATCGGCTTGTGTGAGAAAAGAAACAGCTTGCTAAATTCATGATTTATATGTCCTCCTCTTTGAACACCATCCTTTCAAAACTATGATCTACATTCTAATCAAGCAATACAGTCCCACGAAGAAGCCAGTTCTGTACCAAATCATACATTACTCATCGTTCATTTCCAAACCTGGGGTATAAAATAAGAAGTTTCAATAGAACTGTTTTCTCTGTAGTGAGATCCACGTATAGCAGGACATGGAACAGGGAGCTACTCGCGAAGGTACTGGGAAAGATAAGTCCCAGTCCAAACACATGCTCAAACGAACCTTCAATTTCCCGTGGGATTTCTTTATCACTTGAAATATATGGCTCAAGATGTTTTCGCTGTCATTTACTCCTCCTTCACAACTGCGACCCCTGATTTCTTGTTATCAATACACAACACCTCACCAATACCCAGATATTCCCTATGATTCATCTTCACCTTAAGCTAAACATAGTCCCAAACATCCCAGTCTCCTCTAAGGCCCTGACAAAAAATTCCATAAACCTACTGCGATACACGAGGAGCTCTAGTACGACTTTGATACGCGAAGCTCAAGCACGACGTGTTTTTTTATATAGTGAGGATTTTATCTCTTTTTCTGTTAATGAGTGGATATCTTTCTGAATAGCATGATACGTGCTTGAAGCACCCAGGTATCGACAGCTGGAAAGACTTGCTTGATTATCATCTGCGAGTATAAAAGGTACTGTGGTCTGGGGATCAAACATTAACTTGATATAGACGAGAAGCTGAATTATCAGAAAAAGGAGTACGTACAGAGAGAAGATCAGCTTTACATACTGATTCGTCGACTAAGCATCCGTGTGGTGTCATTCATACCTCTGGACTGAATACTAAAATCTCCAGACCAACAAAGATGTGTGTTTTATTATTGTCATTCCCAACACTAAAAATCCGTCATCTCTCGCATAATTAAATTGTCTACTATCGTTCATCTCTCACTACTCTCAAAGCCTCATCAATCCAGTTCACATGGTTTTCTAAACCAAAAAAACACTCCGCCACCCACAAACAAAAGAAATCCCCTTCAAACCCCGTATTCACAACTCAGCAGAGCGTAGATCCTTCATAGGACCGTCCTCATACTTGTGGGTTTGCATTACTGATGAAATCACACAGACGATGAGATTTTATATTAATCTCGCTGCTTCGAAAAAGAGAAGAGCAGAAATCCAGAAGGCTGAGTGAATCCCTTCTCATCTAGATACCTACCTACGTTTGAAATTCAATTCAGGCGAGAATCCTCCTCGAGGACGTATATAAACCGGGCTTTTTTCACGAATAGTTTCCATACATACACTTGATAATACGAAGGCAAAGTCATACTATGGTCTCCTTTCGCTAGCTGCGCGAACTCCTTCTACCTAGGTACCTACATATTGTCCGTTTGGGTCTCAGTCTTGGGGAGCAGTATATCTCACACCATCCGAACTATCTCAGCTGAGATGTATCGATTTCTGTTTCCATTTCCATTATCGTTATCATTATCATTGCCATTAAACACACTCCAAATGTGCATTGTCAATTCCCACCCCGCATCAATCGAATTTTCTGCACTCCAACTACTAGCCACAAATAGAATTACTTCCTTTTCTCCAACTATAACCCAACCCAACCCAGAATCCGAAACCCCCAAAACTCATCAAGCAGGACATTTGACTTTGTAGTCGTCTCCATTCCTGTCACCCATACTTCCTACACATCAAACCCATGCAGTTCTTATATACCCAGAATCTCTACACTCGTCCCCTATCCTATCCACCCTCACAATCCCCCCCACAATCCCCTAACACCAGAACGAGCAAAAATTAAGTAAATTACCCCCCTTCCCCGCCTCCTCTTCAATATCAAATCAACACACTCCTCCCTCCCCCTCCCCAAACACCACATATAAAACATAAACCCCATTCAAACCCCCATTCAAACCCCAAACCCTACCCAGCATCCCACTCCCCAACCCCATCCACAAATCAAAAAGCAAGCCATACAGGATCCAAACCGTACAAGCGATATGAAACTTCTCATTCACGACTACAAGTACCCTCTCAAAAGGCCCATGATCCATCCCCAGCTCTCATATAGTATATAAGAAAAGTAATCGAATACCCCATCCCGATTCTCAAACCACGAAACTTCTCGCTATCAGATTTAAACCTTTACTTACCGTCGTTATATTACTTATAGATACCTTGTTGTTAACTAAATCATCGTGTAAATCATAATTCTGCATGATCTACCAGTATGAAGTCACATGAAATTCCATGGAAATACGCAACGCAGCGAGTTGAGATGGAAGAAATGGATTTGCAAACATAGTAATGTGGACTTCCTATGCGATAGTTTTGCCGCTTTTGGGGAAAACATGTCTCTACGGTATCAATGGCCATCACTTACTTTTATGGTAGCATTGAGCTTTACAAGAAGACTCAGATCTAAAGCGCTGGCAGGAATCGATTCACCAGCGCCTCACGCACGCCCGGGTGAAAACTTGTAGTTGATGTATGCTCTATAAAAGATCAATTTCGAATACTGGAACGGATTTTGATTTAGTCTTGTTTGCTCAAGCTGGAATGCATCTTTTTAGGATTGCCATAGTTGCAAGGATGATCGATATTCGAGACTCGAGTTAAAAGGTAAGACAACAGGTTATGGGTAATGTTATCAATTGATATTGGAGGAAAGTCCACTATAGATAGATACTCGAGTACATCCCATCAGAGTCTGAAGTCAAAGAGAAGAAAAAAGAGCAAAAACGATAATGATAATGATATATTTCAGTAGCAGTAAGTAGAAATGTTCCGCTTAATCTCATATCCCATTATATTAAAACTCAGAGTCCTTGAATAGTGTTGGCCAAAGATATCTCCAAGCTTGTAAAACCAGTACGCCCAAAGTCCCTTTTCAAAAGCTCTTCGGCCCTTTGATTAGCAACCTTGGATAAATCGTTAATACTATCATCATGAAAGTCATCCATGATTTTGGCATTGGGTCGAAGTTTGCGGAAAGTTCTCAATAAAATGTTATTGTTGAATGGTTTGGCAAAAGCAAATAACCTCTCATTCTTCACATCCTCATCGATCAATGCAGAGACGTGAAGACGACCTACATCCTGTACATCGACGAAATACTGAGGAGGAAGGTTTTTCATCATGGAGTTATCTCCCAAGTAAAGTTGTCGAACAAGGCCACCGGTAGAACCTTGTGCTGGATCTAAAACCAAACCCATGACAGTATCTGGGAGGACGGCATTGGCTACAAAGCCTGGTTTCTTTTCCTTTACGAAATTCCATACCGCTCGCTCGGACTCAACTTTACTAGAACCGTAGACAGCCCATGTTCTCGAGGGCTCATATGGTGGTGGGGCATGCGCTGCTTCGACATCTTCATCATTCCATGTATTTTCATCGATATAAAATTCCTTGTTGGGCTTCGGACTTGTTGCGGCCATAGACGAGGATGTAATGACGAAACGTTTAACACTCGGTTCTGCGGCTGCAGATTTAAGAAGGCCATTTACACCAGCGAGACATTCTGGAATAACCTGAGTGAGGGGTTAGAAGTTAGACTCGTATTATCAATGGAATGAATAAAGCCTTACGTCATTTGGGTTTGGTGAGAAGGACAAGTTGGATGCTACATGTGCAATTCCAGTTACACCCTTCACAGCTTCATCAAAAGCTCCTTCATTGGCCATGTTTGGTACAACTGCCACCTCCACTCTATCTTTTCCATATTGCTCCTCCCAAAGGTCGAGTAGTTTCTTCACTTTGGAAGCATCTCTCGTAGTACCTCTGACTCGATATCCTGCTTTGAGCAGTTGATCAGCTACGTGAGATCCAATGTAGCCATTGATGCCGGTAACAAGGACCGTTGAATCTTTAGGAATTGCAGGAGACATTCTGAGAAAAGGAAGCTGTGCAAACAATGGTGAGTGAAGTTCGAGAGGGACCTGAGTATGTATCTTAAGCAGTGATCGTCAAAGTCTAAACGTGTACAATGTCAAATACTTATACCTAGATGGGAATGAGCTGATATAGCACGCAAGCTAGAAGCCATGGTACAAGTCTATTAACAATCAACTTTCTGTATGATTGATTATCAAAGCATGCCAATATCACACGGCGTCGTTTCATGGTTTCCGAGCGTGGCAGATAGCTGCAGATGTGGTGATTGTGGATTAGACCTCAGATAAAGCTGAAGGCGTGGGCATTTTTGGTATAATTTTATATGGTTAACCTTACCTAGGTACCGGTACGGAGGTAAGAATTTATCCGGCTACCGGAGTTAAGAGTTGTCTTGCGCTGGCGTCGGACGGACTTCGCAGCTTAAATTGGAGAAATCCGACTTGCAAGTTGGTTTTAACCTTTTACACCTTTTAACCGCCCGGCGAACCTTAATTCAAGCTTCAAAATGGCCGAGTGTTATTTCGCTCCCGGATTTCTACCACTTCATCATCTTCATCAATCACGGCAGGTGATCAATTAGATTATCGAAGCAATCATCAAAGGCATTAATTGCAATACTGACGTTGATACTGGTGTTGATACATGATGGAGAAAAAAAGTTCTGCAATTGGGAACTTTTACACAGTTCAAACAACCTACAACTCGACCTCTCGAATCAACTCAGTTGAGCAAAAATGAGGTAGAAGTCGCGATGGCTGCTCCTGGCTATCGGACAACATACAAATGGTAGGTCCAGTCAATGAATGGCAGGGACGATTTGAGATCTTTCCATGTGAGTTTTTCTCATGGGTATTGTTATGATATTTTTTGCTGCTTTCTCTTCATGCCCTTCACCTCCTTCACCATCTCCCCCAAAAGAAAACACAACTCCGCTCAACCTCAGCAATGGCATCTACAAGTAGGCTCACCCCGTCAAATGGTTCCAGAAATTCGGGTGGTCTTCGTCCGCCATTAAAGCATTCGATTCAGATTTCTTTTTCAAGCCTACCAGATGAAGTTATTATTGCTAGGAACAAAGCTCGTGCAGAGAGTGCATCTCCACAAAGTACTGAAGAAGATCGACTCATTCCTGGCTTCGAGGTAAACCACTTAGGATTCAGGGTGACAACAGGAATTGCTCCAGAAGGTGAAAGTGGTCGAAAAGGATTAAGTCCCATCAAATGTATTCAACTTTGCTGGAAATCTTCAAGTAGTGCTTCACAAGCCGTCAATTTTCTTTGGCCCATTGTTCCTGTTGCTATCGTCATCACATATGCTCGCCCGGAATGGCATACAATCATATTCATTCTCAATTATTTATCCATGATCCCTTCAGCAAATCTTATCGGTTTTGCTGGTCAAGAACTATCTCGGAAATTGGACAAAGTATTCGGCATTTTGATGGAAACCACCCTTGGATCTGTCGTTGAAATTGTAATGTTCATGGTACTTCTTGCCAGGGAACAATTTCAAGTCATGCAAGCCGCTATCATGGGTTCTATATTGGCCACTCAATTGTTATGTTTAGGCATGTGCTTCTTCGTAGGAGGATTGACACACGATGAGCAAGAGTTCGATGAGGAAATTAGTGAAGTCGGAAGTGATTTACTTCTTCAGGCGTATGTGCTCTTCCATATCTCATAAAAATGTATCGTCTAACTTAATGAACCAGTGGACTCGGTCTCATTGTACCCGCGGCTTTCAACATGGCAGTTAAGAGCGCCAACTCTGATTATGATCCTTTCGTACTCGCTGATTCCGTCCTCCACATCTCACGAATGACATCTATCCTACTCATCATTTCGTACGCTTTATACGTATATTTTCAGATGCGCTCTCACCAATCTATATACGACGCTATTTTTGAGGCCGATGAACACAAACAAGAAGATTATGAAGAAGACCTTCTAAAGGAGAAGTTGACATTTACGGAATGCGTTGTGGCATTGATCGTTGCAATTAGCATGGTTACGTTCACTGCTATTAGACTTGTGGAAAGTATTGAATTTATTGTTGATGAAGATGGCATTTCCGACAGCTTTGTCGGTTTGATATTGGTTCCACTTGTTGAGAAGTTTGCCGAACATCTCACAGCCATTGACGAAGCTCATGACAATTCTATGAATCTGGCTCTTTCACACGTTTTAGGTGCTACCATTCAAACAGCTCTATTTAACGCTCCACTTGTTGTCATTATTGGTTGGATCGTTGATATCCCAATGGATTTGAATTTCGATCTTTTTATTATTGTTGTCTTGATTCTGTCCATTTTGGTGGTGGGAAATTTCTTGAAAGATTGCAGATCCAATTACTTAGAGGGTGCTCTCTGCGTACTCGTGTACATCAACATCGCTGTGGCAGCTTTCTATTATCCCAATCCGCCAAAAGTTATTCCGCCACATTTTTGAAGTGAAGAGACGGAAATAAGATGCTATGAAGGGCATATGATGTATTGTGCTTTGGTAATCTTGAATTCGACGCGTGCCGAATGCTCCAGTTGCTGGCGATCGAGGCACAATTGCCAATATAATATGTGGCTCTTGTTCTGTCTATACTTATTTGAATCGAATTTTTGGCAGGGCATCTTACGAGACTCGCGAATGGGTATCTGCTAGCTTTTCCTGTAAATATTGATAGATCTGAGAATAAAAAGAGTCTTATAGATATGCCCGTGAGTGCGGTGCAAAGTATACGATGTGATTTCATGATATACTAGAGTATTCAGGTTAAAGGTGGGAGCGTCTTTGATGCCGTGCGAACATCAATGTGACGAGAGTCTAATAGTATGAATGAAGATCCTTACCAAGTCTAGTGAATTGAGTTAATGGGCTCATAGAAGGACGCACACTTCACCGTGTCGACTCAGAACCAAAAGCTTTGGCAATTTGATCAGTAGAGCTGTATGGGAGCTTTCTTCTTTTGGCTTTTTGGCTTGATCATTCATGCAAAATCCTGATTCATCCTCAATATCCGGGAATCATGTGCCGACATTACACCCCTGTCTCACCACTATTGCAGACTCGTTACTTGCGCTCTTGATAACACACCTCTCAGACCACTCAGATGAAGACGCATAAAGCCTTACAATCATCCATGTACACGCACTATCCAAAAAAAAAACGAACAAACTCGAACCAAAAGGCCTATATGAATTGCTAGGTGCATGACATTAAATCGCAAACTTATCAGGTCGGATTGTGTAGGATTTGACAAGTTGCATACAAGATCCATTCGCGTCCAGAATATTTGCTCGAAGTTGATAGTCTAGAAAGAAGGAAAGACGGAAAACTGCTATGCGATAGGGATCGCTTCAATATTTTACTAGATGCCGCTCACAAGCTGGCAGCTGGAAGGGTGTCATGATCAACCAATACAGTGCCGGAAAATCAATACTTTATCCAATCAAGGCGAATTCCTTAATTTTCGGATAATCGAAAATTTCCTATGCGATCAAGCTTGAAGCATGGATCAGGAGCATACCAGATATGGTATCCAATATTTGGCATCTTCTGTTCGACATAAAGCTTGAAACTTTTTACCGCCGACTCACTTTGACTACGGATAGACGAAAACGCTAATTCGACAATTTTCCACCCATCTCTCTGGACCCATTCTTTGCTCGTGACGAGATCGAACTCAAATCTGCTCCGAAAGAATGCTTCAACAGTTTTTGCCGACAATTTGGTGGCTGGGCCTCTAATTCTGACTACTCTTGACATTTTCTCATATCGACCTTCCGCTGGCATTACTTTAATCCTATTCCACATGACTATGAGTCTCTCTCCGCGAATATAAAGGCCACGGCCGAACTTCGCGTCATGAATGAAGTCTTGTGCTGCTTCTCGAGTGAGGAAGACAAGATCGGCAGCGGCATGAGTAAAAAGTCCTTTGATGGGAGGAGTGTAGTTAAAGGAGAAAACCTTGCCATAGGTAATCACAGCGAAGATCTCGGAATGACTAGCTTCTGGAGCAATTTTATGGATTCTCACCGAACAATTCTCGTGGTCGAGACACCTCGCATTGCGGAGATTGAAGTTGGTGAGCTCGCCTTTGTAATTTGGATTGGAAGGAAGACCAACTTCTGCAGCTTTACGAATCATTTCGGGATTGGTTGGACGGCTCTCACCCTTGAGGATTGCTGACGGAATGAACTCGTATGCCTTTCTATCCACATCTTCGTGTACTGGATACTTATCTAGCACCAGGTCGTGTTGGGGTATCTTGGTTATTGATTCGTATCTATGAACACCATTTGAGGTGTCAATAAGTGGCATGGGTGGCAGAGTTTTATCCCAGCTGGGTATTTGGGAATGATTTTCGTCAGGCACTGGCGTCGTCATGTCAGTCGATGTAGTCGATGCAAACGAAGATGACAAACTTGGACCAGAAGCCGTTGAAACAGATCGAGTGTAAGACTCATCAGATGAGGACATGTGGGATCCAACCGGCCTCTCAGTGTACATCCAGAGGTATTGGATCATGGTACCTCGATAGTTTTCATTGAAAACTCTATCAGATGTTGCGGTAGATGTATCTTCGGCATTGAACGCTACACTCACTTTGGATGAAAAACTGCCAGCCTTTTGTGCATAGTCAAATACTTGCATACCTCCGTTTGTTGGAATGCATGAAGTATGGTTTCCGTGGAGATCGACCGCCTCAGTAACTGATTCAACCCATGAAGCGAAAGGAAACTCGCTATTATCTGCCTCTAGTCAGCAATGAATAGTGTAAGCTTGGTCTTAGCACATACAGCTAATATCCTGCTTATTATCCAAAATCGTGGTGCTTCTCACTTTGGAGCTGGTTTGCATCAAAGTTGGCAGCTTGCAGGAACCCTTGATTCTCCCATCATACTGACATTCGTGTTGATGGTCACGAAATTGCTGCTTCGCACGATCAAGAGAGAGCTCCCACGTACTTGGTTGATGGACCATTTTCGTTTGTGTTTGAGAGCACGAGTCAGGAAAGGGATCAAGATTGGCGTATAAAGATCAAGACTAGCGATTTGTTGTGATGCTATCTTCGAAGAAAGTTCTGCAAGAGGCGACGATAGTTGACGCTATTTAATCTCAAAAAATTTGAAAATCTGAATTTTTTTGAAATTAAGTCCGGTGTTCGAATTAGGATGTAACCAATTATCCAAGTCAACATGCAGGTAACCGTGGGGGGAGACTCTTCGATTGATTGGGTAGAAAGGTCTCGAATCAGGCAGCAACTCTACATCGATGCAAAGGAGGGGAAACAAACGAATATGCATTAGAATGAGCTTTGTTTTTGTGATCTGTACTTTATCGTGGATGTGTTGGAAACCTGAGATGCTATGACGAGGCGGAAAGTACCAGGATGATACCCGGGTGGTGGTGGATAGCTACAGATAGTTTGGGAAAAAAAAGGAATTTGTGGATAAGGACTCATTTGGTTGTTTCTACTCCAAGGCTGCATTGCATTGTTGGGAAAGCTGCACTCTTCGCTTACTCCAATTGGACTTTGTATCGTGGGCTAGCGGACTTTGCGAATGGGATCTGGTGTTTTCTGGACATCACTTGGTAGTTCGAAGATTGAGTTGGAGCCTATTGAGAGGAAGGCACTCCGAATTTCGTGAAAACCTAGGGACATAGTCTCCTCCTTCCAAAGCTTACTCAAACGGCTTGACTAAAAGCATCTGGACTTCGAGTTTTATTCTATGCATCTCCAGACAATATTATACAGATTCTTCATGAGCTCATACTGGATTATGCCTAATCATTCAAGGCAAGGAGCAACTAGGGCTCTTTCCTCGGAGTTTTCCAAAGCGATACTTAAAGTCCTTCGATGTATTTCACTACCAGAGGTTATCCATCTTGGTCAAATCAGCCTAGAAGCTTCTCCTGTACAAACGTTTGTTCGAGCGCAGGACAATGAGTCTCATTCATCTCTTCACATCATATCACATCAGGCCAAATCATGAGCTTATGATTTTCATGATAGAAATCAACGATGAACTTTTAACCTGGAAGCTGCCCAGGATATCCTGAGTGTGTAATAAATCAAACGCTATAACCACCAACATGAGCCTCTTCTGATCAAGCTCTTCCTTCACTAGACTCTTCGGAGTCTGGAATAGGAATGTGGAAGTCGAGGCACCATCACTCGCTGTAAGTGTCGTAATAAGTGATGAGTACTTTGTTGGGGTTATGTATAATTCATTGTACAGAGCAACTATGTGGTGAGAATATGATATAGACGTGCTGGTCTGATAGATTCCGGTTTTGACAAACCTGTCAGATGAAAGTCGCTCGAGTCTGTTTTGATGCAGATGAGGTATGTCGTGGGGCTTCTTTCGCTGGTGATGACATCAATGTGTAGTGGGGGAAATAAAATGGTCAATAATATGGCTTTTGACCTTGATAGGCCACTCCCCTTTAGACGGGAGGAACTTATGGCCGAAAATCTGTGCGCAAGGGTTCCTTCCTTCTATGATACTCTTACTCTAGAGTCAATCTCGCCTCGCTAGTTTCCTCACTCAGTACGTCTCCAACACTTTGCATCTGGGCCGGTACCCTTCTCGTACTTTGGTCCAGCTCGTTGTGCGGTGTTTGTATTCCCACTTCGATTCGGTTCGCGCGATGCCCCTGCACGCCAACTAGAAGTGCGAATACTATCCAATGTGCGAGGCTGTAGTTGTGGTGGCGGTGGTGTGATTTGACGTGTACGTGGCCGAGGCATGAACATGTCTCTGCCTTGAGCCGTACTTGGATCACATGGATCAGCAGCAAATCGGATATCGAACTGATCTCCTAATCCTTGTGCCGCGACTTTCTGCTTGAAGCAGCGGAATGCCATTCTCGACTGAGCTTTAATGCCGCAAAAAGATAACTCTACAACTTTTTGATCAGTCCTGTGATCCCATTCCTTTCGGGAAATGATAAATAATTTCATATCCTTGCCGAAAAAATCTAAGAGATCTTGGGCGGAGAACCCAAAAGATCGTGGACCGCGAAGTTGCACCACGCGCGATTGATGACTTTCGTCCTCTGGCACAGGACACTTTCGATTTCGATTCCATTCTACAGTGATTCGCTGCCCCAGAATTTGGATCCCATCACCTGTCTCACTATCTGCGAGATATCTTTCTGCAGCTTCGCGTACGCAAAAGCAAAGTCGTGCAGCTGCATGGGTCCACTCTTCATTCGGTGCGTTCCACGCCACCGAATACACTTTCCCGTGGTGGATCGTGGCGAAGAGATCTGCCATCTTAGCTTTGGGCTGGATATTCGTGATGTGGAGTGCGCAGTTTTCATGCGCTGGAGTCAAAAGATCGTTCAAGACTTCGGCGGTGATTTCACCTTCGTATTTGGGGTTGGGTTGCACCCCGGCTGTGTTTAGTAGAGCTTGGATCTCTGGTGTGATCATGGCTCTTTCACCTTTTTTTAGTCGAGCGGGGACAAAGGGGATCAGTGGTTGTTCGCTTGGGAGAAGTCCTCTTGATGGGGGAGCTGGACCTTCGATCGCTGTGTCGATTATCATGGTGCTGTATTCTTCCTCGGAGGTCTCGGTATCGCAGTAATAGTGAGTATCTTCTCGTTATGTCAGTAATTACTCTGTATAACAGATAAGTTATATGGAGGTACCAAAAGATATATCGCTAGTATCACCTGAAATCTTGCTTGAGTCTAACGCATTTTTCGCACCCTCCATAGTCGCATTCATGATTTCCTCTGCAAGACCTGTTGGTTAGATTGTTCGTATTGAGCAAAGGGGCTTGGATGGATTAGTTGACATACTATTCTTGCGAGGACCACCCAAGAAGATATTTCCTCGACCAAACGATGGTGGGAAGTTCGACATATCGAATATTCGAAGATTGCAGCGGGAGATATGATTCGAAAACTTACTTTTTTCTTGCAGATCGAGGAAGAGTCAAAGATATAGATCTTGAAAGGGTTTTTAGATCGATCTAGCAGGTGTACGAATCTTCGAACTCGGTCTGTCTCGCGCGTATAATCACGTGGAATCAACGAGACTGGTGAGGATATTCTGAACACAAAATTGGTGCGTAAATTTCGCTATACAGCGATGGGTTGATGGAAAATGGGCTTCTTTCTCAGAGAGTTTGTCCAGTTGCAAATACAAGAGTCTCGAGCTCTTGGGAAAGGGGAAGAACAAGGAGATTTGTTATGGTGATTTATGAATTAGAGATTGAACTAGGGAAATGTTGGATGTGAAATGTATCGAGAAGTTGGAGAGGTGGATGTTCGGGGTTTGAGAGGTGGGGGCAGGAGACGGGGAATTTGGAGGGTTTTATAAGGGGTTGAGATGTCGAGGTGAGTGAATAGTTGGGGATGCATGGGTGGGTGGGTGAATGATTGATGGATGGATGAATGATTAGATAGTTGAATGATGGGTGTTTGGAGTGAAGTATTGTTGATGTACAGGGAAGGGTTGTTTTAAGCGAGGGGTTTGAGGGGGTTTGGTTGGTTCGAGGGGGTTCGTACGGTAGCTAGATTGTAGCTAGGTTGGTACATAGGTAGCTGGCTTTGGTTCGATCTAGTTCGTTTAGTACAGTAATAGGACTAGGATTCATTTTGATATCGAATCTGATATTGAGTTCCTGATTTACCTGGAATTGACTAGAGGTGGAAGATACTGGAATGGGAGAGTAATTGTGAGAATAATTTTTGGTACGGTATCTATATATCATAGAATCTATATCATGGAATGGAAAGAATTCGAAGAACAGCTGCAGGTATATGATGTCCTTACATGATGATTCGGGAATCTTGGTGAATCTGGGGGAGTGTGTAGAAGGGAGTAAATATTGATGAGTATATATTGATGAGTGAAAAATGTTTTGTGAAAATTTGTCTAGAATGTTGATGGTTTTCGTTGTGTGTCATTTTTGGGGGTTTGAATGGAAGGGGGGATGTGTGTATTGTTGGATGGATGGATGGATGGATGGATGGAGTCTACTTGAGTTTCGGAGAAGAGAGAAGAAAGTGTTTGGAAAATGAAAAGGGATATAAAGAGTAGAAGAGTAGAGATATTAAAATACTTTGTTTTTCTACTTGACTTGAACACAATACAACTTAAATCAAGATGTTAGATGAATACTATCAAATAGTTTTTGACAGTGTTGATAGTGAAGTAAAATGATCTCTGGGAAGAGAATGGTTCATGTTGGTGCTACGGTGTGATGGTGTGCATTGTGATGTAAGCTGTGGTGTGGATTGAGGAAAGTGAGGAAATTTGGAGAAGTAGGGAGGGAAGGTGGGTGTTTGTTGGGTTGATGGGTTGATGTCTTGAGAGTTGGTTGGTTGTGGATGAGTGGATGGATATTTGGATGGATGGATGGTCGATTGGTTAGAGTTAGGTATGTTTCTTTATGGGAAAGGACAGAGAGGGAGGGGGAAGGGGTATCTGGAGAGGTTTATTTATCATAAGTATAAAGTTGGAGGATATAGAGAGTAGAGATGTGAGATGTGAGATTTCATTGGGATATTTTGTGATCATCCCTTAAGATCCTTGAGAATTAGGATTTGGAAGTTAGGAGTTTGCACTCGTCAGGGGAGTAAAGAATTCATGGGGTTTATCTGACGCAGTTTCAAAATCGAAGATAGAAAGTGAGTGAGATGAAATTGATATAACATGTGGTATTTCATAATTTTTAGATACCTCATTTGAATATCGCATCCAGGTATTGTGTTGTATGTCTGTGTATGTATATAGATATAAGATGAGAAACACTCTTTTGTTGATATACGAGATGGTTATGTTCTTATATAGCCATAGTCATAGATACACAAGGAGGTTGAAATCTTAGAAGGAATAGAGAAGTCTGAAATCATGCATGTTATTTTGCTTGATGTTGTTTGAAAAGTAAAGTTTGCCTATGGGATTTGCTTGCTTGTCTTGTCTTGTTTTATTTCGGGTTGTTTTGCTGGAATCTGTTTACAGGGGCATTTCGTTTGTTTGTTTGGATTGGATATAATAGCAGTACGTTGTATATAGATTTCAGTAAATGTAGAAAAGATCTTGTGTATATTGGTTCATCTCATATCATATCAATTTAACAGTTTTCTTAGTCCAAGATTCCAACCATTCCGGTTCATGATGAACCACATAAATTCCAACTCTTTCATAAACATCAAGCGTATCATCATCATCATCCTCATTCCCATCGACTTTCTTCAAAATCAAGCACTCAGCATATGGTCTCTCATCCCCATCATCTCTATTTGTTGACGAAACAAGCAAAACGATGTATTCTTCCTTCATCCACTCCTCCTCTTCCTCATTGATCACTCCTTCACCACGCGAATGAGTCTTCCAACCTGTCATTATTTGTACTCCTACATGCTCGTCCATTTTCCAAAAACCCTGTTGCCACCCGTAATTCTCAGACCACTCAGAAGCTTCATAATGAGAAATCCCAGCCGGATCATCAAAACAATATGTACCCGCGTAACCATCATAATCATATTTTCCGAGATGTCTCGTTTGCCAGGCACGTAGAATAGGGAGGGTTAATCCCTCTACAATTAGATGCGCAGATTCTATCTCGCCGTAAGGATTATTCTTGACCTTTGGAACTACTTTATAATCTATAACTTTCAACTTGGCAATTCGATCTTTAGGCGCGATGATGGTGCCCCGATCGAATTTGAAGCGATCGTTTGTTACAGCCCACGACCATGAGGGTGCACGATAGGGCTTGATGTGAACACATCCAGATTTCATTTCAGGAATCCAACAAAGCTCATCCAATAAGTCGCAACTCCACAAGCCGGCAAGATAATCTCCTCCAATGGCTGGCTGGAGAAGTCGTGATAAACCTGAGATCGCTGGAAGTTTGTCGGTATCGTATGTCAAATTTCTCTGACAGTATTGCCAAAGTATATCCCGAAAACTGTGGAGAAGTATGAGTCGTTCCATGTCTGTAATAACACTGTTGTCCTGTATGGTGGAATGAAGAACTGGCAATAAACGATTTATGTGCTCTTCTTGTGGAAACCTATATCCAGGAGGCATTCCTTTGAGATCGTGAAATCCCTGTGTACATCCCCAGTATATTTGTTTTTTCCCAAAGTAGATGTGACGAGGAGATAATATGGATTCTTGAAAGGTCCAGCCTCTACTACTCAGCGGAGAAGATTCTGCCAGACGGTGTAAATCCTCGTCATAAATGTCTCTATCTGCAGGTTCCACTCTAACAGTTACCTCCATTCCATTATCATCAGTAAGAGCTAAAGTAGTAGACGGCTTTTCAACAGGTTGGTATGCAGGATCTGGAATAATACCCCCAGTGCTGGCCTCTGATGACATTGCATATATTGTGACCAATGAATCTCGATAAACGGTTCCCATTTTCTGAGATTCTTGTTCCCAGTCATGTTTGGAGTCTTGGATGATACATAGAGAGTCAATCCAGAGATATTGAACTCCTAGCTCTCTAGTGATAGTTATGGCGTCTCGAAAATTCGCAGGCAACATTTGAAAGGGAAGCTCATTTTGGTACTGTGGTAGTGTTACTGTAGTTGATGAAGTGGGTATCGGGCCACCCCAGCAGTGACTCAACGCAATGTAATTAGCCTTGATTCCATTTGAATGAATAATTCTTGTCTGATTAGGCGTAACATCAATCACGCGAGTGGGAAGCTGTGGAAAATTGGTATTGTGACAATCATGACACTCTAAACATTCTCTGAGCCAACCCCTCGTGATATCGAAATTCAGTTTGGACCCAAGATCAGGATCGGTCTCAGCTCTCCCTATTTGGAAACCTTTTAATCTAATTGGGGATTCTATGAATGATGCAATGATAAATTAGCCCCTGCAGGCACTTGCTGCCGTCAGCTCAGAAATTCTTGACAGTGACGTACCGCGTTTTGTGACAAGCGTCAAACTTTGCGTAGGGACCGCGAAAGAGTGCCCATGATTTTTGAAGTCCGATCTTTGATCTCCGATGTTGCCAACGTGAACAAGAATAGTATCAAGCATTTGTACTCCATCGAGGGTAACGTTTGGATACACATGACTACTGTTGATCGAGATCTTGATATCAGTTTCCCGACGACGGCTGAAATCTGTCCAGTAAATCTCATCCGAGTTATCTCCTTGGCTTTCTTCGTCCTCCCCTGGAATGCGCTTCTTCAAACAGGTCAATATCACCTCACACAGATCACAACCCATCTCTGCGGATTGCACAAGATCTTGAAAACACTTGTGATGTGGATAAAAAGCCATTGGCTTTCTTTCTTTTGGTGAATTATTTGGATTCGCCAGCGACGATGTCCAAGCAAACGGACCCATTAAATCTTCCGTCGTCGGTTGATTCGGGAAAACATGACCTTTGAAATCTATCTTTGCGAGGTCGATAAGGTGAGCGAGAGAAAGATTGGCACAGTATATACATCGTTGTGTCATCTTTAAAGGAAGGTGCGCTTAATGCCAACGAGAGATGGTGCTTTAGTCTATTGGTGTTAGGTCTTAGTGAGATGTTTGCGCAGAACGAAGTATATCCAACATCGATTTGATAGAAGATACCCCGCGTTATAGTATACAAACCGAGATACCCAAAGTAGAACTACTGCTTACTGACACGTCAGAATAGAGCATGGATTTGATCCACCAGATTTGTAATGTGAAGATCCCATATCGAATCTTGAGTAACTTCACATATGAATGATTCTCAAAGATATTGGCAACAGAATCTCGCTATATAATGGAAATGTCACAAGTGTGATCATCAGTCAATCTTCTGAATATCACATAACCACTAAGTAAAGAATAATAGCGAAATGAATCGATCAAAGGCAATGCTCAACCCTCACCCAACAGCTGAATTTCAATAAGAAACGAGATCTAAAACCCTTCATATCAACAAGCACATCAATCCCCCCCCAAAATCCAGATTCAAACTCATGAGATATCTTCAGCAGAGAAACGAACCCTTCGGAACTCTGAATAGGTAAAGACTACTAGGTCATCTACTCTACTCGTTGGACGCAATCAACACGCTGGAACCTGTGATATAGTATCACTAAATACTCCATTCCTTCTCTCTCCACCTTTTCCACGCCTACCCCCTTTCTCACCTTCTCCTCTTATCTTCACCTCTATCTCCATGTTTTCCACCATCATCGCCAGTTCCTTCCCCTCCATCCAATCACCCCGTCCTCTTCCCCCTCCCTCCCTTTTCTTCCGCTCCTCGCATTTCCCACTTCCACCGAAAGCCTCTCTAGATACAAATATATACCTACTACATAACTTTATCTTATACTTTCCCGCAGAATTCCCTCATCCATCCATCTCTCACCTCACTCCATCACTTCACTCCACCCCATAACACCAATCAAATGACAAAACCCACCAGAACCATCCATAAACCCACCACACAAACAATCCATCACAGTCCAGCATAATCACATACAAACATAAAAATCCATTATATTCTCATATCAATATACCTACCCAACCTATTTATAAAGAAGGTCCAATCCCCAACCCTCCAATCTTTCCATTCATATCTTCTCTCCTTTCAAAATGCAAGTCCGTCCGCCCCGAATTTTGCCTTCCTTTTCCGCCCCCTCTCCAAAATCACAACCCCCATTTGCTATGCAACCCTCATCAACCAGATGAACCCCAAACGTCCCACGAAAGGCATCGCCCTTAAAATCTCACCATCACTCACAAAAACGATTCGAAAGCTGGAAAGGAAAGAAAAAAACGATTAGGTAAAAAAAAAGGCAATGCCTGGTATATTATTACTCCACTCCACCCTCTCAAAAACGAGTGTGAAGACAACGGCGCTGTAGATTATGACTACCTTGTGATTCTTATCGTATCGTACCAATGCCTCCATCCATCCATATTCGCTTTATTCTAAAAGTTCCCTTCCCAAGCAAATCGACCGAATTGGCCGGGAAGCATAACCTGGGTATGCACGATAGGAGATGACCCCCTCCAAAATACTCATCCCAATTACTTTGAAGAAAAAGATCTGGGCTTCGATCAAGGTTATGTTGTGTATCGATTGATCCGTTGTTGTATAAGCTTTCAATCTTATAGCTCGTGTTGGATGTTTTCGATTTCGTTTGTGAATAATTTGTAATTATTTTCGTTCATCTATCCATCCCCAAAGAAATTAGAAATCATGCCACGTACAAAAACACATGCAAAGAGAGTTCTAACCTTGAGAATCATATTAATAGGTTTGGCCTCCGTTTCTCCTTCAAAAGCCGTGAATAAGACCTGTGCCGAAGTAGTTGAGGGTTTGGGTTTAAATTCCATAGCTTTTAGTACTACAGTATTCAGGATAACTCTGTGAGTATTTTCTTGTCGCATGACCAGTCGTACACTATTTCCTTCAAGCATTGATGAATCGAAACTGCCAGGAATCACATGGCCATTGTCGTCGAATTCGACGCATGATTTTGGTGCGTTAATTTTGAGGGTACCAACTCCTCTTTCCTTCCAACCTAGCTCCTTAGATCCCATTGCGAATAATTTAGCTCGAATCTGTAATATGGTTGCTTCGTCGGCTTCGCCGTCGTCAATGTGAACTAGATCATGATTAGAAACAAGAACACATCACAATCGCAGAATCGAACTTTTACCTTTCTTGGTCTTTTTCTTGTCCTCAACAACTGCCCTCTCCCCTCCTTCCTCTTCATCGCCCTCAGCACCATCATCGCTATCGTCTCCATCATCGTCAGAGTCCTCCGCATCACTAGCTGGAGCACCAAAGGGTTTGGCCGGCTTGCTGCCTAATCCAGCATTGTCTTTGCCCGGAGCTGCAAAGCTCGAAAGCTTTGGTCCAGATCCACCAGCAAATCCATTCTTTAATCCACTGCCAAATACACTCCCTGATGCCAATCCACCAAAACCTGATGTGGCACCGCCACCAAATGCGCTTCCAAACCCAGATGTAGTTTTTTCAGCCGAGGAGCTTGGGATCGAGGATGTAGGTGTGGAGCTTGCTGGTTTGGCAGAAGCAAATGATCCAAATCCTGAAAGTGGTGATTTTGCCCCCGAACCAAAAACGCTAGGTGTAGATGCGCCGATTGTGCCAAATGGAGAAGTGCTAGCAGATGCTAAAGCGCCAAATCCTGAGTTTGCAAATTTATCACCAGATGTACTTCCAAATGTTGACTTGATGGGATTCTCGGTGGATGATGTTGATGTTTCGGTAATCTTCGATGCCTCTTTCTGGCTTCTCTCCTGAGAGGGTAAATTAGTAAATTTTTAGATACTTTAGGGGCACGAAATTAAGTAAAAGTAAATCTACCTTTGCTAAAACTTTATCTGATATTCTGGATGGTTCTTGTGAAGTATCTCTAGGTCTCTTCTTTTCTGGACCTGATCTCATCGTTCGACTCCCATTCAAACTTCCTTCACTTGTAATTCCATTATTTCTCCCAGTATCGTCTTCCGCCTGATTTGTATCGTCATCTTGATCTCTGCCACGCTTCTTTTTGGGCGAAGAAACTCTATCTCTCATTTCCTCATCTTGCGCATCAATCGGTTCAGTCTCGGGCGTGGTCTCTTTGTCTGTACCGGACATATCCTTATCTTCTGCTTGAGTATCTGGTATCTGCGAAGGTGTTTCTGTAGGCAATGGAAGCTTGTCTGAAATGCTTGTGTGCTTTAATTCTTCACTCGCAGCCATAGTAGCAGCATCATCTTTTTGTGAATTATCGTTCTCCCCCTCTGTTGTTGAAGTAGGAGCTGGAGAGTTATGATTTTCTTCAATCATATCGGATTTGGAATTGGCTGATTTTAAATGATCTCGAATTTTGAAAGATTCTGAAGCTGGATCAGCCCCAGTGTTTGAAGGTGTAGCCATTTTTGCGATTTATTTTATGTAAATCTTTTTCTGTTCACAAAATTTGAATTGAAAGGGTTTTTAACTTTGGGAAGAAGAACTCGGTCTGCGGCCTGCGGTCTGCCCCTCAATGCCAGCAAATGCGGCTCGCGTTACTTTAGGCGATAGGTTACCTGGGCAAAACTTCGTATGACTGCAACTACAATACATCGATGTTCAATTTGATATTCTACATAAAACTTAAGCTGTATATTAAGTGTAACAATTTAACATTCACACTTTGGATTCGAACTTTATTGAATGACTCAGCTGTACCAAGAATTATATTTCTCGAAGTCGAGATCACTCTGAGTAACTCGAACGGTTTTCAAGGGTTTCAAGGGTTTCAATTGTTCTCTCGTGGCCGTACATTCAAAAGTTTGACTGGAGGCTTCAGGCGAATTTACTTGTATGGTTGATATTCAAACGACATGAGGAATGGCGATTTACAATTGATTCAACGGTTCCGAGGATTCACACGAGCTCAAGATCTCTGCTTTAACACATGGTCATGATCAGACGCGTAGCAAGATTGGCAACGAGAACAAGCAGGTAAGATTGTTTGAATGGAGTCGATACAGTGTTGATACAAGAACTTCTTAAGATTAAGATGATACACAAGCAAATTGGCGATCTATTTCTGGGTAATAAAGGGGAACTTTATAAGGAGTGTGAAAACGGGTTTGACTCTGATCTTACTATAAATCTACAAGTGTAAACTTCAAGTAAGGACTGGATAATTGAGATTTATTAGTTCCGCAGATCTTGGAGATTTTATGTTTTTGCAACTATTGATAAGTCTTACCTTGATACTAACTAATTATGAAAGGCGACTATAAGTATTACAATGCAATCTCCATATTTTGCAAGACCTATGATTATTTGTATCTTCAATCTTCAGAAATCGATATCATTACAGCTCTCCAGTTTTCGCGTTTTGCGAAAGGAAAACCACAATCATGGGATTATTCATCAAAACTTTCCTCTTCTATCTTGCTACAATAGCCCTCTCCGTCGCAGCTAGCGTCAATCTCGATGTCCAATCTCTCGCTGGGGATGTGAGCAGTTTCAACAAAGAAGTATATTACTATGATGGCTCCGTTGGTAATTACACTCTTATAGACGCCGGCTTCACTACTGTCCACAATGGAACCCAAAAAGCAATCGCAGATACCATTGTCCTGGTCCCATCAAGACCATCTGAGTTGCATGATATTGTGCAGCTGATAGGTCAAAGCTTACGTTCTTATATCGTCCGACTGATGGATGACTTGAAACCGAAGAAATCAGAATTTGCGTCGAATGGTCTTTTGGGGAGCGTGATCGCGAGATTAGAAGTGATGAAGAATGATTTCCAAGCTTTCGAAAAAGTCTTGATTGAGAAACCATCTGAGGAGGAGTCACTGCCACATATGATTGAGGCCGCTTTTGATAGTATTAATAGTGCTGTGATTACTGCTATTGATTTTCTTGCTAATTGAGTACTATCACGGTGCAAGGAACGGGTCCTGATAGTATATGTGATAATATATGAGAAAAGGAGGAGCTCACGGCTATCATTGGAACCACGAATCCCTTATGGAGCAAGACATAACAGAAACCAATAAACAGTATTTAAATAAGCAAAAAACCCCATCTAATCTCAATAAGGCTGAACCCCTAACTCCGCCTCTTGTGACCAGCATTACAAGACATAATCTACAAAATATGAAACATATCAAATCATCCTCCTTCCCCATCCAAAACACAGATATCACGCGCCTGTCGCGCTAAACGCCACGTCGGTATAGCTCAAATAGCCGATGCCCCACCAGCAAAGCTCCCCTCACCCCGCCATATCCCTTTCTTCCAAGGTTTACTCAACAATCTTCCATTTCATCACCGAATCCTCATACAATATCGTAAGTCCTCCCGATTCCATATACAATTCATTTTCATCATTCGAAGAGAAAATAAATCGTCCTGCAGAATATATCTGCAGATAACTATAAGATTACTTGCTGATAATTCCTTGTTGATCTATATATACAGTCCTCGAAAGAATAATTACACAAATCATTCACCATGTCCGCCTTTGAAACCGCCGTTATCGATTCCAAGAAGCTTACTAGCAAGCCTGGATCTGACGATTTACTCGAGATTTACAGTATGTGTTTTTTTTTCTCCCGCTCTCCTCTGTTTCAGCTCCGAGGCTTGAGAAATATGTAGTTGTTTGTTCGAAAGCTTGATTCAAAGATGGTGGATGATGGATTGCGAGGGAAGGATGATACGTACAGATAAATATGAGGATAGCAGAAAGCGAATGGAAACATGCTAATACAAGATGCACCACATAGGTTTATACAAAGTAGCCATCGGTGACGACATCTCCAAGGCTGAGACTCCAGGAATGTTCGACATCAAGGTTCGTTCCTAATCTTTACCTTCTCCTCCTGTTCCTTTTCCCCATCAAGTCGACATCTGTCTCTTCATCCCTTTCCCAGATTCCCAAACCCTCAAAAACTAACATTCCTCCCCACAACAGGGCAAAGCCAAGAAGAAGGCGTGGCAAGAAAAGGTCGATTCCGGCATCACAGCCGACGAAGCTAAAGAGAAATACGTCGCCAAGATCGAGGAATTAAAGGAGAAGTGTGGATATGATGCCGATAAGGTTCCTGAGGCTGTTGGAGGAAACTAAACTTTCAATGAAAGTTCTGGTTTTGCGAAAGAGATGCATGGAGAATATACAAGAATTGCATAGTTGAGCTAGGGATTTGGGGGGAAATAGAAATGCATAGTGGATGGAGGTTTATGTTTATGTTCGAGAAAGCAAGCAAGCAAGAATGAGCGAATGATTATGCATAAATCAGTTGGTTTCGTATGAAATTTTCGTGCATAAAGATATGTTTGTGTTGTATCTGTCGAATTTGTTTATTTCTGCATTGTTTTCTGTGGTAAAATTACTACCATGTTGATGCTACCTATGATCTCATTACACAACCCAAACCAAAGAGCCTGCGAACCCATATCTCCTCTAGGTGTGTGTCTAGATATGCATACCAATTTTCACCTGCGTAAACTCCAAATTCTTCTACCTTTCCAGCATGTAATTTCCCCCTCCTCCAAACCATATAACCGTAATTCCTGTATAAAAGCCATGAATGCCTTGTGATCAATATTGAATATTGTCTTAAATCATAGATGAAACGAACACAATTTATGAAAGGGGGGATAAACAATAATCAACGAAACTCCGATCACAATCATGTCTTCCACGTATTCCCCATCCAATCTGGTTCGCTATACGATGCACTCGCACACCATGGGATATCGTCTTTGTCATATGGAATCAGAGGGAGATCATAGGGCATTCTTGCGCCTACTATGATCGTGTTTCTTTCTTCCTGGTCCTCCTTTCGGTCATCATCTCTTCTCCTGTTCAGATGTTCTTCCTCTACCTCTGTCTTCTTTTGATTGGCTGTTTCCAAATAAGGAACAGAAGATATGAAAGGCGTATCGGTTCCAAAACACGGTTTCATCTTCACCTTCATTCCACTCTGCTTTTCCTTCCATAAGTCAGGCCAAACCAGCACTCCGATCTCATAACTACAAATCCGAACTTCGCCTGCTGAATTGACTGGTTCGCCCCATGCTTGCTTAGAGAGGTTGGCCGAAGTAACGAGCATCCAATCTATTGATTTTTGAAACGAGGAAGTTGGACTTGTATCTGAACTGAAACGGATGTAGGTTTTTATGTGAGGAGCTGCACGTTTGCGGTATGCTTCTTGAACTTTTGGTTCTGAGGGAGCAGAAGATTGAGAAAAGGAGTTGGATGGTAATGAGGAGGAGGAAGAATGTTGAGCGCCATCACCAGCCCAGTGACATAGCATTGGTTTTAGATATGCTAATTGTTTCCCTTGAGCTGGTGTGAGGATCTTGGTATGAATAGCATTACCAGACGCGTAACCATTTATGCTCCTTCTGACCTCATCTGCAGTCGGGAAAATGATATTGAATTTTGGATTGATGTTCCTCGGAGATTTCGATGTGTTGAGGGCTTTGAGAAAGTGCGTTAACCATTTATCTGTTGGGCCTAGAGATGCTATGGAGGAAATTTGAATCACTATTTCTGGTTGAGTGTCGTGGTAGCATGAGACGGATTTGAGAGCGTTGGTGAGGCCGGCCCAGCCCCATGCGGTTTGTGATGGAGAGATCTCGATTCCTTGTTTTCCTGGAACGCTGGCTACTAAGGCCGCTTTTATTTCAGAGAAATCGTACTTGAGCAGTTGTTCGACTAATGGTTTGCATATGATTCTTTTGGTATCATAAGCTCGTAGGTAGTTTAGAAGATTTAACTTAAACTTTGGACCTGAGCCTATTTTGAAGGGTTCAATTGGAGTTGGCTTCTCTGGGCTGAGAAGAGGAAGATGGGGTGATTTCCATAGAGCTTGGGTCATGTTTGTCCAGTCAAATGGAATCATGTTAGCTGTATGAATTATGATTTGAGCGGTGAAGTCATGTCTGAAAAGAATGAGCATCTGTTCACATTAGTAATTGGAAGTTTAGTTGTAGATCTATTAGGGGTGTAATACCTTGGAATGATGGGTCCCGAACATCTCAGGCATGTAAGCTGTGAGAAGCTTGATATTAGGATATTTCAAAGCTTGTTCCTGAAAATCATCAGCATGATTTCAATCCCGTGTGGGGCAGCAACTATATGTATCGCCAATCTCGTTCTTGAATCCTCAAATACTCGCATAGCATCAAGATTGTGAGAAACAGGTACATGATACAAATAAGGACACGGGAAACTAGGAACGGTTTACAAAAGGGACAAAGTTGCAATATCATTATAGAGCGAAGCGAATAAGCCTCCACGGCAGTGGCCCAGCGGAGCGTAAATTCAACCAAGTAAGAAGAAAACCAGCCTACCGCAAGATTAAGTCTAGATTGATCTTCCCTTTTCCAAAAGCCATGAATTACGTTAACTCTGACGAGATTCCGTACATCCTCATCGAATTGTTCCATGAGAAAGTCAAGATTATGTAAATAATTGAACTCCCAACATTCTGATATCAAGGGATCACCAAGAATATCTTTCAGCGATACAGCGTCCACATTGGATGAAGCTGGTAGATCTCGTATTGCTGTAAGTTGAAATGGCGACTTCACCACTCCTCGCTTTGTATGTTCCAACACTGGGCATTTGCCATCCCTCGAACCTTGCTCAGGAAGTTCAACTGGCTTTTGATCGGATTCTTTCTGGTTAGGAGTTTCTTCTTCCTCGAGCATCACCGGCTCGGGACTTTCTATCTTACGTCTTCGCAATGGAGGTGGCGATATCAATCTATGTATACCTCTCCGTACGATTTTTGTGTTAGTGTTATCAATATCATTAGTAACATCGTCTACTTTACGTTTCTTCTGAGCGAGTTCATCTGAACCTTGACTTTGACGTTGATCCATGATTGGATGGATACCGAGGTATGCGTAGGTAGGACTTTCCTTTGTTCAATGACAATTCACATCATGATTTGTACTCAAGATGAATTGGGTGGCAAGTCAAGTCGCCACCTCAAGAGATGGATTGAAATGTTGAGAAAACACTTTATATTGAACTTTCTTGAATTTTCATAGAAGTACCTAGTAATTGTTCACTCGCGATAAACCACCAAATACCCCGTACCTAAAAAGTGATAGGAGGAAGGAAGGATCCATAATCACGTGTTATTTCGTCCAAAAAAAGAAATTACCAGGATTTAATCTGTTAGCGAATAACGCTAATGGTGCAACTGTGTTCCATCAATTTGTATGGAGTAAATGAAAGAAGATGAGAGTCGAGATCCTTTCTTCATATCACTTCACTCTTTTTATCCCCCACGATACATAACGATTTCTCAAGACGATTCTTGAGTTTACGATACTTATGCGATATATTGACGGTCATATTTCAAATTAATTGAGGACAACGAACCTCTCCTTCTTACCTTCTTTGGCGGTTTCGTCGCGACCCGCATTAATCTTTCGATTTCAGGGTGCAGATAGCCCCCTAATTTCCTCCTTCAATATGCGTTTTCTTTCGGTCTCGTTACTATCGACTGTCTTTGCTTCTGTAGTATTAGCACAGACTGGAGAGCAATCAACAGAGAACTCCTCTCCCGATTTACCTGGTGAAGAGGAAGCTGTTGATGTACCTCAACCAACAACATTTAATGGAGTTCAAGTCCCCCCTCTACCTGATATAGATGGAGAACTATTTAATCAGACAGTCGCGGAAGGTTATTGGTTTGTCAAACATCACTCGTGAGAATTTATCCTTTCAACATCTGGGGTAGATCATTATGCTCACCATGATTCTAGACCTTATTGCCCGCATTGTATACACATTGCGCCAACATGGCAAACTCTCTACGAATTCTATTATACTTCGAAGCCGGTCAAATCGGGAGCTGACGATACCGCATCGACTTCAATGAACACTTTCACCGCCTATTACAACTATCATTTCGGCTCTCTTGATTGTATCGCTTTCGGAACTGCCTGTACAGACCATGGCGTAACTTCTTTCCCAACATTTATTTTATACAAGGATGGTGAGGAAGCCAAACGATTCGTTGGACCTAAGGATATGGAAAAATTGGGTGCTTTCATCGAGGACAATTTGGAATCTATCAGACCAGGGTCTAGACCAATTGGCGGACCAAAATACCCAGAAGAACGTGCAACACAAAGTCCAGATTATCAGCCTGAAGCAGCTGCCTCAAAGGAGACGGCAAAGACGACCGAGAAATCGACGGAGAAAGAATCCGATAAGTCATCTGATAAACCATCCGAAAAGGCATCAGAAAAATCTACAGAAAAACCTACAGAAGAGGCATCTGAAGGATCCGCGCAGAAGTCAGAGACAGGAGCTGAGAAGGTAGCAGATAAGGTCGCAGGCGCTGTTACTCCAGTCAAGGATGCCGTCAAGGATACTGCCGAAAATATCAAGGACAGTGTTAAGGACGCCGTCAAGGAAACGAAGCCTGAAGTTGCCAAAATCACCACTAAGCCTGTTCTCAAAGCCACACCAATCGAAAACAAGCCTTCAAAACCTACTCAAACTGCGAACCCACTTGGTACATCCGTATCCCTTACAGCCGAGAGCTTTCAAAATTTGGTTACTATGTCCCAGGATCCTTGGTTTATCAAATTTTACGCCCCATGGTGTCATCATTGTCAAGCTATGGCTCCTAACTGGGCTCAATTGGCAAAGGAAATGAAAGGGAAATTAAACATCGGAGAAGTCAATTGTGAAGCAGAATCTAGATTATGCAAAGACGTACACGTTCGAGGATATCCTACCATTCATTTCTTCCGCGGCGGAGAACGTGTCGAATATGAAGGGCTTAGAGGACTGGGTGATTTCGTTACCTTTGCCAACAAGGCCGTTGATATAGGAGATGGTGTTAAGGATATCGATGCGGCTGAGTTCAAGGAATTGGAGGAGAAAGAAGATGTTATCTTTGTTTACTTTTACGATCATGCTACTACCAGCGAAGACTTCGCTGCATTGGAAAGATTGACTTTGAGTCTGATTGGACACGCCAAACTTGTCAAAACCAACAGTGCTGCTCTTGCTGATCGATACAAGATTACAACTTGGCCTCGTTTATTGGTATCCCGAGATGGTAGACCAACTTATTACACAGCACTCGCCCCTCAAGACATGCGCGATTTCCGAAAGGTTCTTCATTGGATGCAATCAGTTTGGTTACCTGTTGTTCCAGAACTTACAGCTTCCAATTCTCGCGAAATTATGGATGGTAAAATTGTTGTCCTTGCAATTCTTTCTCGAGACCGCGAACATGATTTTGAAATGGCTAAGAAAGAATTGAAGCAAGCTGCACTGGAATGGATGGATAAACAAATCATCAATTATCAACGTGAACGTCAAGAATTGAGAGATGCAAAGCAACTCAGATTAGAAGAAGCAGAAGATCGAAATGATCAAAGAGCTTTGAGGGCTGCCAAGAGTATCAGAATTAATATGGATAAATCTGATCAAAAGGAGGTTGGATTCGCCTGGGTAGATGGAGTTTTCTGGGAAAGATGGATTAGAAGTACCTACGGTATTGAAGTTAAGAGTGACGGTGAAAAAGTTATTATTAATGATGAAGATGTAAGTAGTCTATCCGTTCTTTCCAATCATCTCCCTTTTATTCAGGTATACTAAGCTTCAAACAGAACCGACGCTACTGGGATACAACAATCACTGGGAACTATATTATTCCTTCTCGTACTTCAATCTTGGAAACCATTCCTAAGGTTGTAGTGAACCCTCCAGTTATCAAGCCGAAGAGTACAGTGGGATCATTCGAGAAAGCATTCTTCAATGTTAGAGGTGCAATTTCAGGACATCCATTCCTCAGTTTCGGAGTTGCACTAGGAATGATCCTAGGTGCCACGATGTATGGAAGAGGAAAGATTGGTGCGAGAAGAGGTGGTTTCTTTAGAGTAGATGATGGTGGTAAGGATGGTTTATTAGGTGGTGTTAATGGTGGTGGAAAAGTCGATTAAGGAGAGAAAAGTAATTTGAGAATTTAGATGGGAGAATTGCTCTTGGGGATGAAAGAAACGAGATGAGGGATGGGGGATAGGAGTTGATTGAATTGATTCATTGATTAATGGTTTATGGTAGCGTAGGTAGGAAGGTAGGGTAGGAATCCTTTGTTCAATTTTCAATGTATTATAAATTGTATCAGGTTAGATTGATTGATCAGCCTTTTGAAGATATATGTATCTACCGTTATGAAACTTTATATGTTGTGTGATTTTGTCTGAAGAGAGAAATAAAAACACAACAAAATAACACACCCATGTGGATCTATCATGAATACAAATTTTCGTCCACTCGCTAGGAAGCCATATTGTGATGAGCTCTCCAGACATCCACCCAACATCCAACAACCAACAACCCATCCACCTCCCCCCTCACAACCTCACAACCTCACCCCATCAACACAAATCCCCACCCCCTCCACCGCCGGCACACCACCCCCCTTCTCCATCCCCATTCCCATCCTCTCCCCCTCCCCCCCCAAACTCCTCCACTTCAAAACCCACCCCGCAACCAACACCCCCATCCTCTGCAACCCCTTATCTCTCACCCTCACCTCCCCCACGCACCTCTCCACCTCCCTCCTCATCCCCTTCCTCTCCTCTTCAAACTCCTCTCTCAAAATCATAATCTCCTCATCCCTATCCAGTATTTCTCCACGCATTTCTTCCCGCATTTTCTGGTGTTCTTTCTGCAGCGTTGTAAATTCTTCGGAGGTTTTCGTTTGTGAAACGAGGAGGTTTTTTAGATGTGCGATTTGTTGCTTCAGAGCGGTGCTTTCGAATTGGTGCGTGCGTTCGGCTTGGGAAAGTAGATCGTGGGTGAAGGAGAGGGAGGAGGTTAGTTGGGATACTTGAGAGGAGAGGTGCTCTTTTTGCGAAGGTTCTTGGTGGAGGCTTTGGGTTTGGGTGGTGAGGTTTGTGATGAGGAGGTTTTTCTCTCGAAGTTCTTGTTTTAGTTGGGAGATTTGTTTTGCTAGGTGTGGGTTTGATGATTCGAGATGCTCTTCTGGGGGGGTTTGTTTGTCGGTTTTGGGGAGGCGATGCTGCGATTCCGGATTTGAAAGCTCGAGTTCTAGATTCTTGATTTTTTCAGTGTGGTGAAGAGGTTCTGGTGCGTTTCTGATGTGCTTGAGTTCGCGTTGGAGTTGTATGGTTTCTTCATTTTTGGAAATATATCGAAGTCGCCATTTCTCTGTAGTGGGTTCATCTCCTTTCTGTGTTTTCGTCTTGGAATCCAATCGCTTCCGCAATACATCAATTTCACTGGCGGCTTCCTTCCATTTATCCTCCCAGTTCTTCGCTTCGAGATTGAGCTCATGCGCTTGTTCTCTGGAAGATTCCAAGTGTTCTTGAAGTCTCTCTTTATCCTCAATTTCGGCGCGAAGAAGTCTGTTGAGATTATCTTGTACGTCAGTTGTTTCCTTGCATCTATTCTCCCATTCTTTGACTTCGTTCATGGCTTTTTGTGCTTGTTGCGATGAAACATCGAGGCGGTGTTGTAGCTCTTCTTTCTCGAGTCGTAAAACAGCTATATCGACTTTTTGGACAGTGGGTGAATTGGGGTGAATGGTAGAAAATGAGGAGGAAGGTTGTTGTTTTGTTGGAATGACAACTGCTACGGATGTTCTTGGCAATGGTGTTTTCTTATGACTTCCTGCTGCACTGGCCATGGCATTCGATTTCTTCTTTCGACTTGGCGGATTTGGCGTATTCTCTCCAATGTCATTCTCACCTTCATCGTCACTCGACGGAAGTGTTCTTTCTCGCCCATTGACTCTTTCCGGTGTTACAGGGAGAAGTTTGGTACGTTTCGCAGGAGATGGAGATGAAAGACACGGCTTCTTGAGTGGTCGATCATCGGTGAACTTCGCAGCTGGAGAGGATAATGTGTGTTTTTCTGAGAGACGTATTTAGTGGGTCATTCATATCAAACAGAAACCAATTAGTACTTACTAGTCTTCTGATGATCTATCTTGACAGCATGGGGAGACAAGAAAGGTTGTTGACCTGTCACTTTTTAATCATTATAAACCTTGGGAATAGATGTGTTCACTTACTATTACTCTTCTTGAGACTTTGAGGAAACAATATTCTTCGTGTAGGAGGTAATATCGGAGGGACAACTTCAGAATTCTTCTGGGGAAGTATTGGAAGACTTGGTTTTGCAGGCGCAACTTTCTCTTTTGGTGATTTATGAGCTTTGCCCGGCTTCTGAAATTTGTGAGGTGAAGATCTGTGAGGAGATTTATGAGGAGTCGATCTCTTATTTTTATTCGGCGTCATGATTGTACAGAATTGAGTGAAATTACAAACGGTTTCGTACTTCAACAGAAGTGCTGTGGAATTTGTGACTTTGAGTATATAACACTTGAACGATGGATCATGGATTGAAGAATCTGACAATTGAATGGGGGATTCTGTTTGTACTTTGGTTCAATATATGAAAAGGGATTTCGTTACTCGACGATAGATGAAAGACTTGTGTGATATAAAGAGGGGTGAGTGTGAGCAGCGACGGGAAGTTGCATAAATTTGTCAGATCGTGCCTAGAAAAAGAAATTAAAAGGAAGAAAAGTAAAAGAGTGCAATAAGCCACATGCGATTTTATCCGTGCTAGAAGTAAAAATCAAGAGTGAATTGAAGTATGAAATGAGTGAAGTAAGAAATCATAAATGAAGCTTTACTGCGTAAGTTTTCCGTCCCATATGGAATGCTAAATTGTTGCTTGAACAACGAGATGATCTCAGACGAAAACAAACATTTCAGACAATATATCTTGTTTGAAGGGATTCATTAATAGCTTCAATACCTAAATTGTGTTGATATCTGACTGATATTCAAACATAAGTACTCACATACACGCTCTTGCTGTTATTCCATCTCACCTCACTTCCTCTCGAGTCCCCTAATTTTGATATCCAACTTGCTACACTCACTTCTGAGTCTTATACATAACCCATCGACCTCATATAATCGATCTCTCAATTGTTGGTTCTCTTTTATCAAACGAGAACAATTCTCTCCGCATTCTGTGCAAAGCCCACTTGCTGAAGTCGGTGTTTTGCTCCTCAACATGCTCATTCTCTCCTCATCCTCGATTCCCATCCCCATCGTTGCTTCAAACTTTGGCCAGGCTGCTTTCGAGAGTGCTATTTTGGTGCGGTCTAATCGTCTCATCAATTTACCTATAGTCTTATCCCGTCTCCCTATCTTTCGATTCATCTTTTGAATTCGCGAATCTTTGATATCAATCGTAGACCTCATAGCTTGAATCGCCCGTGCTTGTTCGTCTGCTGTCTCTTGCCAAACTCGAACCGTTACAGATTCCGCTGCTGACTTCAGAGTTGTGATAGTTTTATCGAAATCATGAGGCGATTCGTTAACATCACCCTCACCCATGCCATTGCTTGGAGATTTAGGTATCAACAATGTGCTACGTCGTGAGCTGCGACGAGAAGCTATGTGCGATTAGCATCACCATATTGGAGTGATTATTTTGATTTGGGAAGCCGCACTACTTGGAAGGCTCGTAGAGTTATAATGAGGCCGGTATGGTGCCTCAGATAAAGACTGTCTTTTCTGTCTGGAGGACATTTCGACTGTTAGATGACCGTCAAAAGTTTGTGAGACTGTCAAACAGATGTTGCGTAGAAATAGAGATAGATGCTTCATAAAGAAAGGGAGAAGTTTGAGACAAATAGGCAATGAGCAAATGATAACTTCTCAATCATCTCCCTTGATTTGTTTTTTCGTGCCATGGATTTGTCTGTCATTTTATTGCTTTTCTTTGCTCCCTGTGGCTTTTGGCTGCAGACATAAGCCTTGTCTTGGTATTCAATGTATCCGCGCAAGGATTCAGATCATTCATGTTGCTACCTAGTTGTCGTCAGTAAGAAGTTTAGTTAGGTAGAAATGATATTGTATAGCAATGGTTTTGAGGTAAGGCTCCCAGCAATAATTCCCATGATTTAATGGTGCCCGGTGAGGTTCATCAAGGAATCTAAAAGTTCCCCGCGTTTATAATCACGGAACTGAAGCTTGTGCGGGTCAAAACTTAGTAATTGTCCGTGCCATAGTTCGGCGCTTCCCAGCTTAGATCCAGGAACACACACCAAACGCCAAAATCGCGAGAAATCACGAATCCACCTGACATTTCTCTCCCCCTCACCCCTCCTTCCTTTATCAACATATTGGAAGCAATCATGGCGGACGAAGAGGTGTCTGATGCGGATAATATCCGTATTAGGGATTTCGTAGTTCGATTTCTCTACGATTATAAACTTCCACAGGGCGAAGGGATTTCCGGTACTGTAATGCAACAGCCTTATCTTGATCAACTGGATCGCGTCTTGGTAGAGAACCCGGCTTTGATCAAGAAGCAAAAAAAGACATTCAAAATTGTTGTATCTCGAATGCTGGATGAGGTAATAGATAGATTATGTTTTACTTGCCATTGTCATTGTGCTAACTCTGACTAGGGTACAACATTAGAATTGCTTGAGAATAATGAGGGCAAGGGAGTCTTGCGACTGTACGATTTTGTCAAGCCTCGAGACATCGATTTATCGTCCTCAAGGTCCAACAACGAAAATAACTCCGATGGATATGCCGTACAGCCTCTTGAGTCAAATGTAAAGGTGGAGAAATCGCATAAGAGTGTCGATCGAAAATTGAGGGATGGCATTGATCCAAAAGGATTGGCTCCGAGATTCAGAAAGCGAAGGATAATAGAGGTAGAAGAGAGCGATGGCTCTGGAAACGACACTCCTTCCATAAGCAATTCCAGGCTGGATAGCAGAAATTCTAGTCCCCAGAGACTGTCACGACCCGCACTTGCGCCATTGGATGGAAATCGAAGAATTTCTGCTCCGGAGCAATTTTATAGTCCATCGGTTCAATCTGAACCTTACCAGCATATGGACTTTTCACCAAATACAGAAGTAAAGGATGAAAATCTGGTAAGTAGTTTCGGCATAATGAATGGATTTGTAAACTAACTTCTTAGTCGTTCCTGCCAATCTGGCTTCAGAGAGGTCTAAGTGAACTTCGTCAAAAATATCCGGATTCTCGGTTTAAAGCAACAGATCTGCACGATATCAAATGCTTGGATTGTGATACCGAACACAAGGTCTCGAAATACAAAAAAACGAATAATTTTGAGACTCATTTGAAATCAAAAACCCATCTGGAAAATGTCAAATTTAGAGTGGAGAATTTGGCTACGTCTCGACCTATCTCCGCAATGTCAATATACTCAACCATGCCACCACCGCCACTGCCTGTGCATGCTCCACCTGTTCCGCCCACAGCTGGAATGTCAGACAGCGCAAGTGCGAATGGTGGACTTATAGAAAGCATGATAGCAAACGCCATACAACAAAGTATCGGGCCTTTGACTGCACATATACGAAATTTGGAGACCCGATTGCTATCATCGGAAAATATACACAAGCAAAGATTTGAGGATATGGCTAGACAACTCGATGAATCAGAGACTCGCAACCGTGAGTTATTCTCTCAGTTGGAAGAATGCAAGTTATCAACCGAAGAACTGAGCGCTAGACTTCTTGCTGCGGAAGCTAGATCTAGAGAACAAGTCGAATTGTCTAGACGTCTGAAATCAGTGGAACAGGCTAATGAGTCGTTTCAAGCTTCGAGGAGTAGTCTTTCAGCGCAACTCAAAGACGTCCAAGGCAGCATAAAAGCTCTTAAGCAGGTAAACAGTGCTCTTTGCACACAATCTGTGGAGGAATTACCGAAGAGACTAACATTTTTCCTCAGACACCAATACCAAGCATTGAATCTGCCATACAAGATCAAGGCAATCGACTTTTTATTCTTGGCCAGCAACATGAGGGCACAGCACTTGACCTATCACGTCATTGTAAACTGGAAGAAGAGTTTCGCAGAAAGATGCTATCTCAGATGGAAGATGGACGTCAAAAACTTAACGAACGCGTCAACCTTTTGCAGACTGCATTAGCTTCGAGATATGAGGATTTTGAAGAATTCAAGAGCAGAGTCTCGCGTGACCCCCAACATGATCAGAGCCAACTCGATGCTTTGAAAACCCAGATTAGCTCGGACCTTGATACTCAAGTAAGACAATTTTCCGGTAGGATAAAATTCATTGAGAAAAAGATAAGCCAAGATTCTACAAAATTCACGGCTTTGGATCACAGAACTGCTGAGTGGGTTGATATTACAGACAAGAAGCACGATTCTAAGCTTGCAGAGCTAGAGACCTTGATAGTTGAAAACTTCGTCACTTTCAGAGCTGATGTGACAAACCATATTGAAAATTTTAAGAAAGAACAGAGAGAAAAGAATGGCTCAGTAGAAGCAATCTTTGAGGGAAGGCTAGCGGCTGCAGAAAGAACGATTACCGCCATGAAAAGTCAGTTGGCTGGGTGCGAGGTTCGACTTGAAGCTGGTGAAAAGTCTCTCGCACATTTGATAGCGAATTTTGGTCTCGACACCAACCGTACAGAATTATTGACGTCTGAATGGGAAAAGTGGCAATCAGATCGTGAAGAGGAACTCCGGAATCTCGATACCGAGGTCATGAAAAATTCTTCTTCCATGGAGAAACTTCAGATTGAGCATACTGCATTCTTAGAATCAACTCCGAAGATCATTCAAGAAATGGAGAAGCGATTAGAAGAGCAGGGCCGAATCTCTACCACTAAACTTCAAGAAAAGCTTGAATCAACCGAGGCAGATTTGACACAAAAGATTTGTTCGTTACAGGAAACTCAGGTGAAGCACCGCCAGTCTACGCTGGAACTTTACCATAAGTTGTCAGATACAATCATGAATAGGATGGATGAAAAAGTTCAAAGTTTGGACAAAACATGTGATGATTTTATTATGAAGTCAAAAGAGAATCAAAAAGTCAATGCAACTCTCATGGATCAAAAGATGCAAAATCGACTAAAGAGCGAAGCTGAAGTCCACAAAGCAATGACCGAATCTCTAATTCAAAATTTTGTATCCAAACGGGATCGCGAATTACAGTCTAAATATGAAGAGACGTTCAGGCCAATGCTTCTAAAGTATTTGACAGAGAAAGATGTGGCATTAAGGAAGAATTATGATGAGAACATTGAAAAGGCGTTTCAAGCACGCATGGCTGCACGGGAGACCGAGCTCGAAATTAAGTACGAGGAAAAATTCAAGCCGTTGATTGAAAGTTTCTTGACAAACCATCAGAAGATACTCAGAGATGAGTATGAACTCCGCATTGAAAAGTTGTTGAATGGTGTAAAGGATGAAATCATATCAGCGGACAAAGAGAACAGGAATCCAAGTATCAAGACAGAGGAAGAGCTCAAGTCCCTTGTTCTTAGTCTTACGGAAGAACGAGAATCAGCCTTTTCAAAGAAACATGGAGCGCATATCGAGGAATTGGTTGACACGCATCGAATTGAGATGGTGTTACTTGAGGAACAGACTCTAGAGCGTCTATTGACTTTGGAACAGATGATTCAAGATCAAGGACAACAAATCGAGGATTTGGACTGTGTACTTCCGTTGGTGTTATATGATGTAAATGAGTTGATGAAAAAGCGGAGACTTCGAGATCGTGGCTTGAAGAAAGATCATTTTCGAATGGGTAAAAGTGGTAGATGATGGGTGGATGGGGCAATATGAGATAATGACGAGCATATTTGTGTGGGGATTGGATTGAAAGATAAAAACGCGATGTGATTTTGCAGAGCATAACTTTCTGGAGCATAGCATGATGGGCATTGGAAAGGGTTTGGGAGTACTTGGAGTTATGAGCTGAGGTTTGCAAAAGTCGAGATGACGATACTAATATATCAACCAAAAAGGTATTGATCACTGGCTAAGGACATGTTACTTTTGAGTTGGCATAGAGGACAGACCCTTGGAAATTTCCTGGATACATATATAGCATTTTTGCATCTCTGGGCGGATTTCCATCTTATGAGAAATGAATGCATGGGATGGAATGGAATGGCATGGGTTGTATTATGATACCAAAAAGTTGTGTAGATTTAAGGAAATGATTTTGTTCATAGATGTGGATAGGAAGATAGATAGATAGATATCAATTGACTACTGATATATCTCAAAGTTTGAATATTTCTCGGATTATTTTCTAATAGATACCAGGGAATCTCGATGTTCAGGCAAAAATCTTCTTGGCAAACCGGCTTGCATGTTAGGTGGAAGTTCGAGTGATTAGGTGGGTTAAGCATGTTATTTACTTAGGTATCTAGGTATTGATTGGTTATGTTGTTGAGATCGCATTTTGAGGGACGAGGGGATGAGGGGATGCTTGGCTTGGGTGTTGTTTTGAGAGGGAGGGGTTAGATTAGGTCGGGAGAGTATTGGGCGAGGAGAGTATTGGGTGAGGAGAGTATGGGATTTGCTGATGGGTTTGCTGATGGCTTGGATGTGATGGCTTGGATGTGATGGCTTGGATGTGATGGCTTGGATGTGATGGCTTGGATGTGATGGCTTGGATGTGATGTGTTCGATGTGATATATTTGAACTTAGTATGCTGGATATCTAGGTAGAAGGTTAGTTTGGGTTGGGCTCCGTAATAAATGGGGTTTGTTTGTTGCATTGGATTATTGGATTAATTGGATTAATTGGGTGAATTGAAATTTGAGGGGTGTTTGAGGGGGAGGGGTAGGGGAAGGGGGAGGGGAAAGAGAAGTGAATAGAAAGGGAAATTGGTGGAAGAGGAATGGGAGTGGGAAGGGGTAGGGGAAGGGGAAGGGGAAGGGGAAGGGGAAGGGGAAGGGGAAGGGGAAGGGGAAGGGGAAGGGGAAGGGGAAGGGGAAGGGGAAGGGGAAGGGGAAGGGGAAGGATAATAGAAAGGGGAGTGCGAAATTAATGGAAGAGGAATAGGAATGAAAATGGGCATGAAAATGGGATTGGGCACGGGATTGGCAGTGGGAAATTGACGGAAGGGGAAGAGAGATATGGAAGAAAAGTATGTGTGGTGATTTTATGATCTTGCGTGGATATCACAAACTTTCTTTATATGGATACGGGATAAGAAATGCAGGTGGGGGTAGGGAGTGGGTATACAGCTGGAAGATAGGTAGGTGGGGTTAGGTGGGAGGGTAGATGGGGATTGATTGATTATTGATGAAGATGTACTAGAGTAGTGGCTCGTGGATGAGGTGTGGAATTTTGTGATTGTGAGTGTCATTGGGGTTGCGATTGGGGCAGTGATATATCAATGATTGGAGTTGATATTTGGTGGTTAAGATTAGTTCTTTTGGTTGGTTGATTGGTTGATTGGCTGGTTGGGGGTTTGATGTCTGCTGGGTTTGTAGGGATGAGGAACGAGGGAGGTAATGAGGAAGATTTGTATGGGGAGGTGGGATGAAAGATGAAAGATGAAAGATGTAAGATTTAGAGGGATAAAAAGGGAGGGTGTAGAGTGAAGAGCGAATGAGGGAGGAAGAGTGAGTGAGGAATGAAGAGTCAAAGATGCAGACTAAAGGATGGAGAGGAAGCTAAACGAGGGGTATAGAGATAGAGAAGCGAAGAATAAATAGATGGAGACTGGTAGATGAAGAGGAAGCGATGATGAAGAGTGCATGAAATGAGGGTATGGGTATGAAATGAGAGTATGGGTATGAAGAGTAACGATTGAGGGATGGAAATGAAAATGAAGGGGAAGGAAATTTGTGGGGCTTCACGCATTAGCGGGTTTTGTACTGTTTCTTCGCTGAGTAGAGGGATACGAGATCGTGGAAAAAACTGAGTGCTGGAAGTTAAATGGTGTTTAGGATTTTGAGTAGCTTGTTTGGATAATCTGTTTAGGGGTTGAGGTTCAGGGGTTGGGGTTGGGGTTTGGAGTTTGGGGTTTGAGGTTTGTGTATAGCGAGCATGTAGCTTTAAAGGCTTGGGTCTTTGTACCTATGCGGAGCTGGTAGCTCTAGAGGATAGGAAGATGGCATGTCAACAAAAATGGAATAATATAAAGGGAGTGTTCGTCGCGCTGAACGTAGGTTTGTGGGTTGAAATTGTGTTAGGGATGGGATGGGTATAGAGTAGAGAGTAGAGAGTAGACGCGTGTATATGCTACGTGGGTGAGCTGGGATGCTAAGATGGAATGGTGATGGCGGAAAGTATGGTTTGTGTTTGTGGATTCATGGGTTGGAGTAGAGTGGGGAGCGGAAAAAGAGAGAAAGATGCATTTTTACCAGCTGATGGGTTTTGATAGATATGTTTGTTTTAGAACCTTTACAGAGTAGGATCATCACTTCGTAGAGGGCAAATACCCGGGTAAGGGTCGGCTCTTCCAAGCGATCGACTAGTGGGAGCTACGAGCAGCCTTGATTTGGATCAAGACTTTTGGAAGAAGTAATTAAATGCTTCACGGAATCAGAGGATTGGATCATTTCATTAGGATATTTGTTGGAATTGTTTGGAATTTGTGGTATTCTGATTATTATTATTATGTGTGCTCTCTCTCAAAGAGTATGCTTTCTTGCTATTTACCCCTGAACAGAAAATCATCGAAGAAAGAAAATCCCGTACACTGTTGATCATGATTCAATTCAAAAGACATTACTTTAACTTCAAATTGTTTATCTTCTGCCCAATCTCGACTTTCGCCCGAAGTTGAGCCCAGCTCAATTCACATCACAGATGTCACAAGGCACATCTGGAACATAACTTGCTGTAACCATGCCCTCAAACGACGCGGTACTCCTGATACCCGCAAGTAAAACCGCCGCCTGCCCAAAGATCCGCGCAAATCTGAACTCCATCACCATGTGTTTTGGAGTACTGTAGGCGAGATGTCTACAGCTTTCGATGTCCAACACACAGAGATTTGAGATGAACATCTTCCAGAACGGAAGATCCATGCTGGGATTGTTGAAGACTTCAATGAGGACCACACGACTCCGGTAGTGGAATCTGAATGGAAATTCACGGTGACCATTTCGATTTGGCTCGACACGAATCCGATGTCCATTAATATAAATGCCCTGGTAAGAAGCTCTCTGAACTAAGCGAGCTGCGTGTTCAGGGTGTTTAAACACCACCTTGGCGGCGTGGCTAGGGTGTTGATCTCCTCCGAGGTGGATGTAGGCCGCGACGATGGGGCCGGTTGATACGGCATTGAACAATTCCTGATATAGGAATTGCCGAGCGAACTCTTTGGCGATTCCCTTGATCCAGACGGCGCAGTTGAGCTCGTTAGGGAGGTTCGCCTCGCCGCCGAATCCACTGGCAAATTCGCGGTCTTCGTTGTCTATGGAGTATTGTGCAGCAGTTGAGGCGTTGATGGGGAGTTTTGCAAGGAGTCCTTGCACTCGAAAGAGTTGGCCGGTTGGTGGAAGTCTGGGTTGAAGTGATGATGTGCCAGATCTGTCGGTTGATGTCTGGTCAAATGTCAAGGCGGCAATGGGACGACTAGCCATTGATCTTGCTTGAGTTGGTGAACCACCTGGATAAGCATTTCGAAAATGATCACTCGGGACACCGGAAAACCTATTGCCTTCCTGCTGTTCAAGACCAAGCTGTGGTCTCCGGCTCTCAATGTTGTAGTCATCATCTGTTTCCGATGGAGCACCAACTACCTGTGCGTTGAACTGAGACATGTATTGCTCAGGGCCTCCGTAACTGGTCATAACTCGATTGTGCTCGTACCCAACAGCACGATGACCAAGTAATTGGATGTTATTAGGTGGTGCGTATGGTGCAACACCACTCACAGGCAGGCTGCTCTGCACTTGTGGTCCACGAAAGATCGCAGTGACATCTCGGTGTCCAATCGCGACGCTGGATGGGTGCATGCTCGTTTTTGCAGTATGATCACGAGCATGAGCATATGGAACATACCTCTGTAGAGTGCCATATGATTTCTTTCCCTTTGAGGGAGAAGGACTCTCATCGATATTCAATCCCGCAATAGAAGTCTCAAGATTGAGATCCGAGACTTCATCGTCCTGCCTCGAAGATGCTCCATGTTGCATGGGATAAATTCCCCGAACCAAAGACTGAGTGACAATAGGACTATTGTCACAACTTTCTTCTTCTTCTTTAAATGAAGGTAAATTTTCTCCAACTTCCGAGATGCTGAACTGTGAATATCCCATTTGGCGTGAGATTATTCTCTCATGTCCAATGGGCTTCACATCCGATAATGGAGAGGTGATTCGACGTGGCTTTCTCTCATCGAAGTTGAAGTTGGGCAATGGCACGGTGCCGAGGGCATTGGCCATGGTGCGAGATAGATACTCGCTTTGTCTGCGGTTATGAGGAGCTGTGAGGTTGGGGGTTAGCAAGGCTTGATGTGCTCTTTGGGATAGTGATGACTTACCAGCTAGAGGAGAGGTTGGGTTCCAGAAAGAACCATTTTGGCCGTTTTGGCTGCGGGGAAAGGTGGAGGTGAATTTGAATGAAGACATTCTGGATAGTATGTCTTTTAATTGTAGAGTTTTTTTGTTTGATGAAGCTGAAATTCAGAATTTCTCGAGTGTCTATAGTTGATCGTTTTTCGAGTGAAGAACTAAAAGCAAGAATCGTGAAGAATAGTCTGAAATAGACGTCTGTGATCTTGAGAAGATTCTTGATGAAGGAGGACTTATTGAAATGTAGAGAGTTTACAAGAAGATTTTCTGAGAATGAGATCGGGAATTGAAGAGCTTATGAAGGGAATAATAATGAAAGGGTACTGTTACATCATTGGGGAACATCGCTTAGCGTTGGGGGAAACCGTAAGAATAGGGGTACGGCTATCGTTTTGGAGAGACTGCGTGGTTGATGGGAAGAATATTTGAAATATATGGTATGAATAGGTAAAGGGGATGGTAAGAAAAAGCCGTATTGATACGAGTACTGCTTTATTGTTGAGAGGATACTGTCTGGCGGCTTTTTGGCTGAATTGAGAGGGGTACTGCTTGATAACCGATAGCAGGTCACCTAACGGCTTTCTTCCAGCCGGACTGAGTAGGGGGTTTTGCTCATTTTTGAAACGATATAATGTTCAAGATATAAAGTGTTGTATTAGAAAAAGACTGAAATGGCATTTTTTAACTCATTACCCATGGTACTCCAGCCCCAATTTGAGGAAAATGACAGTCTCTCAAGCTACTATAGGGACAAAGATGTCTAATGCAATATATACATACCTCTTTTGGATGCTTTGCAGTTTTGGAACATTGAGAGAATTATATATACACTTAGATATTCTAAGGCTTGTAATAGTGTTCACCAGTTCAGTTGGGCCGATATCAAAGGATAAAGGATTTCTGATCTTTTGATTGCTAATAAGAGAATGACTTAGTGCAATTAGTTTATCAAACTGTATAGTCATTCAGTGTAGTAGAGATGAGTACAATCTAATCGGCTTCCCAATCATGGAGAAACTTTAACTAAAACGAGATATAGCATAAAGAACCATCTAGACTTGGTCCTTTTGACTTCTTATGGGATTGAAAGTTATCCATGATTGTTCCAATTACCCCTCATCTTCGAGCTTTTCTTTTTATGGATGTGAGATCATGGAACCAGCTCGAAGCACTAATTACCAGTGAATAAAAGTCTGCTAGAATATGTTTGGTCCATACAGATACTTTGTTAGAGATGAAAGTAATTGCACGTGCTTATACAGCCAAGAGACAAAACTAATATAGGACTAATGTATTAACAAGTCTAGCTCCTATACCTTTCAAGTTCCAAGCTCCTTCTTTTCGGTCCAGGTAATAAAGGATATTTAAGTCATATCGTACTACATACATGCGATATCTTTCCACTTTAATCAAATATCCACGAGGAACTTCAACAAGCAAGCATCTAATACACACATAATATTACCGAATTAGAAAGCCTCTGAATACCTCTGAGGCTTCTCTTAGACGGTCAAAATGAACTATCATTCAAACCCCCAAAAAGCTGGTCCGTCCAAACCCACACTTCCAATCACATACGATGCGAACATGAATCCTCGTAATGTGTTCTTGCTTGATGGTGAGCATCTCCAGCACACTATTCAGAACCTATCTCCTGCTTATGTTGACTCAAGACCCATCAAATTAACCACTACTTCTTTAGGTAAAACACCAGCTTCTGTTCAGGAACGATTAGCCGCGGTTTTAGAGGACAATCGCCGACGCAAAGAAGCGAAAGAATCAAAAGAAGCAGAGTACGCATACCAGTTCCACCAGAGCAGTGCATCACACACAAATCTACCTGGTCATTGGATTCCAAATCAAGACAACTTGGCTCAACCTTTTGCTCAGCATCAAGAGACTGAGTCTAACTATTTCAACATTGACCAAAACTTGCAACCGGAGGGAAATCATCTCGAAAATTCTCATCGGAGCCTCGTGATGGGGCGGAGTGTGAACGATTATTCACATTTTTTATCCAATGTCAACTTTGTGCAGCGAGGTGGGGATGACATGGCTGGACAACATGTTCTTACTGAAAAGACCTACAAAAACATAGCATATAACCAGTCTGTACAGCTAGAAGATCCAAATGTCAGCCCTATTTTTGGACAAGCGACAGGACGTAGATCAGTATCACATCGAGATACGGACCTAGATACTCATGGGCCCCAAACTCTCACAGGAAAAGTTGAGATTCCTACAACTCCCCCTACCAACCTGATTAGTCCGAGTGTTCCAAATTATTCCCAGGCTCAATATCCTTCTTTTGAAAGGAAAAGAAGACCTCGTAACGGAGGACATATATGGAGAAACTATAATCATTTTTCCGGATCCCGACAGCAACGAGCATGCCACCAATCTTTCTATCAGCAAAGTGCAAGGCCCCAATACGTGGAGAATGGTAGACGTACCAATGTATATGATCCGGTAGCTCTAAACGACGAAGAAGCTTGGGCAAAACGAAGATACGAAACTGGACAAATCTCTCCTCTGCCCAATTACTTCACTCACTCTACAACATTCAGCGAGTCTCATTCTGGTAGCGTTACTCCCACCCGCACCCCTCTCCAGGGCACAAATCATGATATTCAAACCACAACTTTTCCACCAGCAACCCATTATCCCTCCGATGCGACACATCAGTTCGACAACCGAACCCAAATTTATGACCCCCACACCATAACCTCGATGAATTCCGAACTCGACCTCCCCCCCTTCGTCGATCCCTATGCCTCTCAATTCAGTGTTGCCCCCTCCCGCAAACTCCAACGACGAAACAATTCATTCGTCCCCTCAGAAGAAGACTCTCAGACTTCATCTGGAAACTACAAAGGTAATCCGCGGGCCGGCATCCGCGGACTCTCCGATCATCTCAATTGCGCCCTCTGGCTCACCAATCTCGCCGCCGACATCCAAGCCCACGAAGTCTTCGACGAAATCCATACCGGTGCCGTCACCGCCTTCGAAATCACTCGTCCGCAGGGAGAATATGTTATGTCTGCCGCAAAACTCGTCTTCAAGTATCCTGAAGCAGCTGCGCGGTTCAAAGACCAATGCGAAAGTGAAGAGGGAATTGTTCTTCGCGGACGCAGAGTCAACGCACGTTACAACACATTCGGATATTGTCAATATAAGAGCGAAGATAAAACTCGTATGATATCAATCGAGGGTCCGAGTCGTTATGTGGTATATGATCATTTCAAGGTGTTTTTCGAAACTTTTTGTGATCATGAGTTGTCGGGCTGGGAATACGTTGAGGCGGCTGTGAAAGGAAACCGAAAGATGCTTATTGGATTTGCGAGAATCAATGGTCAGGCGACGCAGTGTTTGGAGGCGTTGCAGATGCACCCTGTTTATGGAGAACATTTGATTGTGCAGTATGCCCCGGACCCTTGTGCGAAGGATTTTCCGTAAGCAGGTCGTCGGGATAGTAGAATGGGATAATAGAATAAGTTGAGAGCTGGAACTCGGGTGGTAGAAATGCTATCAAATTTAGATAGGCCTAAGAATTCTAGCTGATGGTAGCTGGTTGACTCATATTCACCACGGATGTTAAGTCATTTTGGCTGGCTGGCGTTTTTCCACTTACATGAATGACAATGACTTTGTGCAAAGACGAATTTTCCCAGACAAAGCATTTAACGTGATAAATACGTCTATTAGATACAATTTTGATATCACTAGCTATGAGTTATTACTGGATTACTAGATTTCTCAATGCGGGATTAGACGAGACTCTTCAGGTTATATCCAGAACTTCATAGATAACCTATTACTACATGACAATACATACTACCTTGAAATCTCATGGTACCTTCCATTTATGCTGTCATATTCATATACAAATAGTAGTCCCATGACTAATCCAGTATTTAGATGCTGAGGTTGGAGATTGTTGCAAAGAAGTGTATAGCAGGATTTATCTGGTATTCCAGAGCGTCATAGATTCCTCGATTAAGTACTAAGAAATCAAAGGAAATGTATAAACTACGGTTCTTGAAATAATGAGGCCCTTTATGTTCATCGATTTTTATTATCCAGGCACTAAGAACTGTGTTGCTGCTTGAATGTGTTGTTTGATACGAGGCATAGATGACAGAAGATGACTGGCGCTTTTAAGTAATACGAATGTTTTCGGTCGATTTCTATATCTTTGGTCTGTCTTGATACGAACCTGCAAAATTTCTCTAGATGCAAGTGCAAAACTAATAATGTTATCTTTTGTGCTATCTACGTTTGATTGTACTCCTCAACTGTGGTCATATCGAAGCGAAATTGTCGCTAGTTCATGTCACCATGAAGGACTATGAGGAGCTTTCTGACTGCATTGGGACTGTTCAAAACGAAAAGGCATTGAAAATAAGTAGTGATCAATGAATGGCAAATGCAGAACAGATTCAGGATTCAAAAACACTACAAATTGAATGGTATATTTTTGATTATTTTTGCTAAATTTTCTATCTTTTTAACTAATACAATCTCCACACCTATGGCATCGTATCGGAGGAGTACCCCGATCAAATTTCCAATTTTTTTTAATCTTTAGACGAAGGAAATAATTCTGTAGGAGGAAAGTTCGATGCATGTATTCCAAAAGCTTTTTGAGTCCAGCGGGACAGAAGCAATTCCAAACAAACATGAAGATTTGCTGCCGATGTATTACAGTTTCCTGGTCTGTAAGCTCTAAGAGACATCGCACAAGTCTTTTTGTCGTGTTTGACTCTCGACGTTGGGTTTGCTTGGCACATCGTCGGCTGGTAAGCCTGAGAGAACTCGCTCTCTTGTTGTTCTATGTCACGACTACATTTGAAAAAATCTTGTGGCTCCAGATGCGTCGCTATCGAAATTTATTTCCAGAGAGGCCCATCAGTGACAAAGATACAATGTTCAGACCCGTTAGCCTATATCCTGATTGCTCTCACACTCAAACATTCGGACCAGACTTATTGAATCCCTTCAACCCCTCACCCAATCACCTGCATCTAAATCAGACCTCATTAGGGTCGATTCCGTATCTGACATTCACCTGCCCTAGGAATGTCATGTCCTTTTTAATGGCCTGGTAGCAAGTCTGTGCTTGTCCAGCGATTCTGACGAACTCGAATCTCGTGCATGCAAAGCCGTACTTCCTACAAGGCATTAGAGTGACAGAGATGATGGTGTACTTGCACCAGTTTCCGAAGTAGCCATGCCAGAAGGCTTCATCAAGTATTTGAGGTGCTTCAATTTCCAGGAAGCGAGTCTCAGGGCCTGTCCATTCGTATGCGCCGTAATCATTGTACCAGACTTTGATCTTACGGCCACGAATGCGGAGACCGCCCTTGGTACGAGCACGGCGGTAAAGCTCGGTACCAGCAGCGTTGGTCTTGAACGTTGCCTTTGCGGCCTGTGTTCTATGGCCATTTTGAGGTTCGACCATAGAAAGCGCAGCAACGGCGCCACAATCAAGGATTCGCATGAACTCAGCGTACCCAATTTCCTCTGGAATGTTGATAATCCACATACAGCAATTGATGTGTTCCGGAAGATCAAGGAGATCAGGATGGTTCTCGTCACCCTCGTAGTTGGTATCATGATGAGAGTTGTCTGGAATCATACCTTGCTCTCGGAGAAGCATGTTGGTTGGGCGGAATTTCTTCACCAAGTGAGAGAGATCCGGAACTGCGATTTGTGGCATCATCATGTTATCCGCAACCATTGGTGCATGCTGAGGAGCAAATGCAGTTGTTGTTGCAACAGCCATGCTTTGTGGGAAGTAGTCCACTGAGACTGGGAGGATCTCTGGGCCTAATTGATTGAAGTCGCCGAACTCAGTTGATGAATCATTCAGGGGGCCAATGGTCATCTGTTCGTCCTCATAAATGGCGGGATGATATGAGAAATTGCCGAACCCGGTCGACGCAGACGCCATCCGAGCGTGTTGACTCTTGTCGACAAAGCTTCCAGATGCAGATGTCATCCGAGTATGGCCCGTGTATTGAGACACAGAAGTGTCGAAGCTGCGGTCCGCGGGAGTCCAAGTGTCGGCGCCAGAAGCAGTGGAGAAACTAGTGTTGGTCCTCGTGTGAGCAGTTGACCTCGAATTGATACTCCTGGAACTGTTCATTGATCGAACGGTCCTCAGATGCTGTGGAGCTAGTTGAACTGGCTGAACTGCTTGAGCTACCTGAGCTATCTGAGTTGGTTGAGCTGCGTAGATAGAACCAGCAGCGCCAATACCTTCACCAGGAGTATTGGATGGGACAACCACAGAAGCATTCTGGGATCGACGAGCAGAGTCCGGAAAGAATTGCTGGTGGGCACCATGGGGAGAGACGAACAAAGGTACTGCTTCTCCATCAACACGATGCAGAAATGCTTTGAACTTCTTGGCGTCTTTTGAATGGGGGTCCATACTGGGCGTTGATGATGGAATCGAAATATTCTTAGTGCCCATCATCTGATTAGAAGCGCCATTTGCCGGCGACCATTTGGGTAGAGCATTTCCAAATATACCCAATGGCGATTTCTTTCGATTTCCATTGGTGACAGTACTCTGTGGGGCTGTCATTCGGTGGCGAGACTCGAACATATCGTGCCATCGGGAGCGCTTTGGTGGAGAATTCTTGATGGATTGATCAAGAGTCATCTGCCCCGCGAATCTTTGGCCCAGGGTTTGACTTTCGATTTCAACCTCGTTTTCTTCATCCTGATCATGTTCTGCTCTAGTCGCAAGGCTTTCGAGACGTTGGACATGATTTGCCGAGACTCGAAAGGGGGCAGGGTTTTCTCTCGCAGTGATTGTGGTATCTGACTGAAGGTTAGTCACTTTACTAAAATAAAACCTTTGTAGAAGAGAAACATACCACTGGCTTTGGACGATGTACTCGAACGTGCTCCCACAACTAATTTGTTCTGGAATCTGCGGTTCTTGACGGAGTTTTCGGAAGGCAAAGTGCGACCATTGTACCAAGATTTGGAGACTGTGATATCCATCTTGAATTGAATTAATTGAAACAATTAAGAAGTGTAGTTGGTGATTGCTACTCTCTGCCAAAAAAAGGGGGTGCTACTGAATGAATGAATCGTTTGAAGGTAGCAAGTAAAGAAAGTTTCCTTCTGAATTGTTAAATACAGGACTGAGATATTTCTAACTTGGAGAAAAGAAGTCCAGGTTGTATGGATTTGTTACCCAGAAGGGATTTCAAGAAATATTGTCAGAAGTAAATGAATGTGCAAAGAAACTGTGAGGAAAGTCGTTGAAAATAACTTGAGAGTTAGATGAAAGTTTGGGAGGATGGAAGACTTATAAATTAAAAAAACGTCTGCTACCCGAGCAAGGTTTGCGCAAGTTCAATTCACAGCCGCATTGTACTGCTCTAACACCCGTATTGAACTCAAAGAAAATTTGCATACGGCTCACATTGGAAGAGTGAATATATATATGTCATCGTACAATCCCACTTTTAGTATAGATCAGCCAACACATATCTCTCTACTATCGTAACTAGGAAGGTAAGCGAACCATAAATCAACGTATACATCTTGGGATAGTATGGTAGACAACGCTAGTCTGGCTTGGCAATTGTTACTGTAACGCACGAAAAAGAACTGAACTGCAGGTGGTGGAGAATAATACAGTTCGAGATATTCAGATCTTGGCACCTCTGTTCAACTTCAAAATGAAATTAGATCATATAATAAGCCTCGCGTGGCTGTGATATGTTGAATATATGGATTGGAAAACAAATCTAAAATGATGTTATTGAGCAAGTTATTGTATATATGGCATTATTCAATTAGAATCAATGATATGATGTTTTGATACGGAAGACAAGAATTTCACATCGTTTCATAAAGATAAGATAGGACAGCAGACATTTCAGAACTTCGAGAGGGAAGTGCAAATGGAATGGAAGTAGAACCATTTTTATACTATTAAATCTTGATCTTTATTGTCGTGCGTTTGCTTTCGCGCTCTGGGTTAATCTTTAAGAAGAGTTCCAAAAGATAATAGATAGCTAGTCAACAGATTTACACAGACAGAGTAGCCATGGGTGCCTCTGCTTCATGGCCATAGGCCAGATTTCTTGCATAACCTCTGTCGATATTGCATATTCACTCTATTTTCGAAACTTTGACACATGATACTCTCTAATAGCCGTAGAGTCAGAGAGAAAGATAAGTAATCCGGTCCATCTTTTTAAAAATAAATCTAGGCAGTACTTTGAAGTGAATTAGGATTCAGGCACAGCCAAGACTTAACCGAGAATGAGCTCAATCAGCTCAAATGACCCAGGTCTAGGTACCGATTCACTCGAAGACCATGACTCCAGTTACCAATCACGGGTTATGAACTCTGGCATTCATCCGACTAGACAGAAAAATTTCAGCGCTATGTATAGAGGCATAGCTTTGGATAGATCCTTTGAGATGAATATATGCTGCATTAAAATCTATACGCCGTTTCGCATAATTGCATTCGCAAACGATATGAGATGTAACTGTGAAGATAAACTCAAAGTAAACGTCCATTTCTGTTAGCTGTCAAAGTTTAGTTTCCCGAAATTCGAGGATATTAAGCAGAGGAAAATGGCATAGTTTTCATTTTATGGAACAATGATTGCATTACCGACGTGCAAAGAGAAAGCAAGTCATATCAAAGGCAAAAATGATTCCAAAAATGTGAGTTCTCTGCTTGAATTTAAAATGTCTATTCTAAAGGAATTTACTGCCTCAATTGTCTTTGCGCTATATATGTAGAGTTTTTCCCAAATATGACCAGTGACGCGAGTCTTGTTTCGTCCAGTGCCAAAGTCATACACCATTACTACCCACTCAGCCTATCACATATTTATTCCAAAATAGTGTAATCGATCCGTCGAGAGCACTCATTTGTGAGGCAAGGTCTCCCAGGCTTTTCCACAAGGATCTGGCCCATATTTACAGATTACCTTACCCTCAAACTGAGGATCATGGATAATAGTTATCAAGATTGATTGAGCCTGTGCTTCAATTCTGGCAAAGCGAAACTCCATGAACCTTGTGACTTTGTTATTTGGGTCAAATGGCAAATAACCAACATGATCAAGTTGATATCTCGTGACCTTGCCAAAGTATTTTCTCCAGTAACCCTCAGCCATGAGTTTATAGGGTCCATGAATATGAATGACACGACTCTGATGTTCCTGAGCGTGTTTGACCATGCCGTAGCCATTGTAGACAGCAGCGACATGATGGTCGCGGATTTGGATACCCACGGGACTATTTACTAGTGCCATGAATCGAGCAGCTCCTTCGGGATATTTGAAGGTGATCTTGGCAGCGGAAAAGGGACGTCCAGGAATGGGTTCGTTAATGTGTACAGATACCACGGAACCGGTGGTGATGACTGCGAATATCTCCTTATACTTGATATCTTCTGGGAGATGGCTCACAAACAATGAGCAGTTAAGGTTGTCGGCAAGATCTTTAATCGCCTTGGTGCCTTGTCCCGTCTCTTTGTAATTTGACTGGGTTGAAAGCGATCTGCTGTGACTACTCTCTGTCATTGGATGTATGGAGCCACTGTGTACATAGGCCGGTACGTAAAGACTGAAGTGCGGTTTGTAATAGCCTCCAGTCAATGTTCGTCTGTTCATACTGGGGTCTGCTTGCCATTGTGAGCCGTCTTCAGACTGGCTTCCGTGGCTGACTCTGCCTCTACCCGGAGGAGTCTTCGACTGTAGAACAACAGAATCGGATTGTGATCGAGAGTGTGAGCTATCCGTATCGCTCCTCTTATGAGGTGGAATGTAGGATGTACTCTCAAAAACGCTTGAATTTTTAGAGGATCTTGGCGCTGCGAGACATGGCTGGTGGGAATCACCAGCATGGCCTGTAGTTTCGCCTCCCTTGAAATCTTTGGAGTTGTAGATATCTCCATCAGCTTCGCTCTCCATGAACTGATTATAAGTGCTTCTGAGCGGCTCAGTGTCGCTATCATCTCCAGCGAAAGTGTCTGGTAGTGCATGCAACCAAGAGTGCGATGGGGCTGGATATTTTTTTATCTCTGAAGTACCGGCATGATTAAGAGTATCATCAACCCGAAAACAAGACTTGTAATCAATTTGGCCAAACATCAAGTATTCAAATTTGAAGTATCCAAATGCTGGGTGATACATTTTCGCGGAAGAGAGCCAGTTTTGGCACGCTGATTCAAAGGATGATCTGTTACCATGAATCACATTCTTGGTCAAGCCGAGATCGAGGAACGATTTCATCACTAGGTAGATGTATTAGTCGGCATACCTTGAAAAAAAAACGATAGAAAACTTACAAGGTTTGCTCGGGTGAGCAGGCTTAGCATCTTCAACCACTTCTTCTTCCTCTGCGAGAGCTTCTTGATATGCAGTGCATGCATCGCGTACTAGGTCTTGTCCTGTCATATAAATATGACGATGGAGATCTCCGAGGTAGTATCCCGGTGCTAATTTTACCAATTCCTCCTTGAATGCTAATGAAGCGGCATCTGTTCCTCGGAAAGCATTCATCTTGTTCATTGTGAAGAGAATGGTATTTTTAGAAAATTTGAAAGACCCTTTGAATTGGGGTGAAATTTGAAGATCAGTAAAAGAATACAATAGTAGACTTGAGTTGATTTGAGAAGATATTCAAGAATCTTGTTAATGTTAAGATACCAAGGAGTGAGGACTCAGGAATTGTTGATGGAGAAAACTAAACATCAAAAGACATCAAGCCTTTATACTATCAAAGTCGCTCATAAAAATCATGAGCTGCTCTCTTGACCGCACAATCAACAGACTAAGAGGCACTTGGAAGCTCAACATGACAATACTACTCATGATGCTCCAATCAAAAACTCGACTCTATTCTCAAGACAATTCTCATGTGAAAGGAAACTTAAGTGCCGTAGTAGATACTGCTAGATAAATTCTATAACAGTCAAACAAGATCATGATTCGTAGATACCACAGAGATATACATGAAACATGCAATGAGGAACTGATTGTATAGATCCAAAACCTGTCTTCATGGGAACATCTAAAGATATTGCTTGAGTTTGGTGGGTGTAGTACCAGTCAGCAAGTGACTGTTGGATAAATTCTATTATAGTCAAGCAAGATCGTGATTCAAGAATAGTATGAAGAAACACTAAAGAAATACTTAAAACACAAAGATAGAAATTGATAATATAGATCCAGCACTTGTCTGTATGAAAAATTAAAAGATATGGTTTAAGGTTGATATGGCACATTACTAGCACCGACTGACAGTCTTGGTCAGTAGGAAGTTGATGCTCTCTTCTACACCTCCCTTAAAAGAACATGCCAGAATTATGATAAAACTGTAAAGATGTATGAGATGAGAACATGATATTTTCCAAAGGTAATTCAGAAGTAAATATAGAAGTAAAAGTTATTTTATTTAAATTAGAAGTTTAATAAACTACGTCTCCTACACTTCAGGAAACCCCTCAACAAATCAACTCATCTAATCAGGAAAATCAACAAAGCTTACATATCAGTTCCACCAAGAAGTATTCCCAGACCGATCAAAATAACGAAAGAAAAAGATATTTTCAAAGAATCGCTAGGTTCTCTCCTCTTTTTGTACGACTTGAAACACTCAAATTAACATTTTTCTCGCTTAATAAATATGGGCTCATGCTCCTGTCACGAGGCACCAAAACCATCTTTCCACATTGAACAGCTGCAGTTGCAAAGTATAGCCGGAAGATTGAAGTTCCTTGTGATAGGAATGGATTGGTAAATCTATGTGATTGGTTAATCTCGTCCCAATTTTATATAAACGCTGACTGTGATGTGATCATACATAATACTAAAAAACCACGCATCCATCAATCATGCAATCATTATTCGCTCTTCAACGCAATTGCCCTCCATTTATTTCAAGCATTTCAATCTTCTGGCTCATTTTTAATTTTTACTTCCCCATCATCATCCAGATTACCCAAACCCCTAATTCTCCCTTTACCCATAACCGTCTCTGCCAAAATCACGGTCTCAATTCCCCTATCCCTCTCATCCACTGGCCCCATCGGCAACGCATCAACATCAATTTCCATCCCGAGTAGACTTTTCAGAATAACCTCGCTACCTGCCTTACTCATCACCTCATTGGCATGTTTACAATTCTCACTCGCAACACACTCTACACAACCTTCATAACAATGACAACCCTCCACTCTTCTCAAAGCTTGTTTAAGTAACAAGTCAATGAATTCAAAAGCCTTAGTACTAATACCCGAGCCTGAAGCTCCGCCTTTAGCATCGTAGAAAGTAAGACGAGCGGGACGTTTCCTAGTCGTTTCTTTCTGAGCGAAATCTTTCACGGCGATTTTACATTCCGTGCGGACATCTCCCGGCATACTTATTACGAAATTAGGCATAAGTGATAGGACTGCGTGTTCTGCTGCATGAATGGCACCAGCGATATTGAGACGTTTTTCGACGAGGATCTCGAGAGCTACTTTAGGAACATCGAGCCACATTCCCTTACTATGGAGAATGATAGGCGGATTGTCCACTTGAATGGCATCGAGAATGCGTCTCTTCTTATCGAGTTTGAAGAAGCCGAAGACATTTTGCTGGATCTTGATAGCGCCGAAAAAAGCACGAGAAAGGGAGTTGGGGATGCGGCGGATAGCTTCGGTTTCGATCGGATCAATATCGGTGTAGTCGCGCTGTTGGGTTGTCCAGTCGACTTTGACAAGCTCAACTTTGGCGATCTTGCGCTCTGGCGAGAATTCTTTGACGAGATATGTATTTCCTTGGTGGAGGAATATACCACCATCGTAAAGTGTGAAAAATGCTCGAGAAGCTTCTAGTTCTTCCAAAACAATATTTTTACCATGACTGATATCGATAATCGCAAAATGATCCTCCTCAGTGTCTCGAATAGCGACCAATTTCGACGGAGTGGGTCTATATCGTTCGCTGCAGTGGTAGAAACCAAGCTCGTCTTTTACCAGTCGCTCTTCTGCTAGCTCTGCCAAGTTTTTAGGGAAGTAAATTGCATCTTCATCCGGACGAATGGGCATTTCAAACGCGGCGCATTGAACATGTCCTTCTAGTACTAGCATGTTCTGTAAGTCGACCTGTAACTCACAATTTGGCTTGGTGAAGATCTCATCCGGATTATTCATATAATACTGATCACTAGGAAAGCAATCACCGATCAAAACTGAAAGCGAGTCCTTGTTTCTCCGTCCAGCTCTTCCACTTTGCTGCCGCAGATTCGCAATCGTGTATGGAAACCCCACCGTCAGAACCGCATCCAAAGATCCGATATCTACACCAAGTTCTAGAGCAGTCGTTGCAATAATACCCATTAATTTTCCCTCAAACATCTCGCTTTCAATTCGTCTCCTATCTTGTGGTGTATATCCACCTCTATATCCCATCACGCGAGCCATACATTCAGGACGTCCCAAGGTAGCCAGTTCCTCTTTCACCGCACCAACCAAAGCTTCACATTGTCTTCGAACACGACAAAAGGCTATAACACGAACTCCTCGAAGGATCAGCTGACAAAATAATCTAGCAGCCTCAGCTCGTGTGTCTCCACGTCCACTTGCGGGATCTGCAGGATCCTTGAAAGGTGTATTCCAACAAAGAAACTCCTTCCTACCAGAAGGTGAGCCATCAAAATCTGTCATTCGTACATTTTCAATCCCGAATATTGTTTTGAAATGCTCCATAGGGTTTGCAACCGTGGCAGAACAAGATATGAACTTAATGCGTCGATTGCCTAATGCCGCGCAAATTCTTCTCAGCCGTCTCATTATGAAAGCCACGTGAGACCCGAACAGCCCGTTGTAAACATGGATTTCATCGACGACAACAAACTTGAGATTCTGCAAGAATGTTCGCCACTTATCCTCTTGTGGGAGAATGGTAATATGTAGCATATCTGGATTAGTGAATATAATTCTGCCTTCATCGCGTATCATATTCCGATCCTTCATTTCCGTGTCCCCATCAAAAGTCTCCACAATAGCTTCCTCAAGACCAGTCATGAACCTCATCATCTCCTTCAGACTTCTCCTTTGATCTTGTGCTAGAGCTTTGGTGGGAAATATGTACATTGCTCTAGAATGCGGATCTTTTTCAAGCTCGTGTAAAACAGGTATCTGATATATCAAAGACTTCCCAGAACTCGTTGACGTTGCTACAATAACATTATGTCCATCGTGAAGATTATTGATAGCTTCAGCTTGGTGAGCATAAAACTGCGTAATGTTCTTGGTATTGTACAAGGCATTGACCAGATTTTGACTCAGCACGAAGTTCAAATCTCCATATATTGCTTCTTGAGGATCGAAGACACGATGGCCATCAGGTACAATTTGACCAGTATACCATTCGCTCTCTTTGATTTCCGTGATGATACTCGATATACTTGCGCGTTCTTTGGGAATGCTTTTGGGCAGAACACTATGATCTGGCTTCGGCGTGCTACTTCTCGATATTGACGGTATAGGAATTAACGGCTCAGCTTCTTTGAGCAAAGTTACTTCTGCATCGACGCCATCTGCATCGCATCGATTAAGAAACGCATTGATTGCACTAACAAACTTTGTATTTCTCTTCTCAATTAAATTCATCATCTGTTTTTGACTGAAAACCGGCATCTTCAATTCCTCATCCTTTAATTTTCTGGTTGCCTTTACTGCTTCTCCCGTCTTCTTACTTTGCACTTGTCTCTTCAGATCACCATCTATAAATTCAAAAAGCAGAACTTCCTTCACCTCTCTGTCTGCTCCTTCACCATACCCTAATCCCTCGACACCTGTAAGTCCTCCCACAGAAGCATCTGGAGCAGGTCCAGCAGCGTGCCAATTCTTCGCTCGCCCTCCTTTAAAAGTCTCATCTCTTTCAGCCCCTCGAACATCCAATTGTAGCATTGCCTCGTCGACGTATGAGAAGTTCATTCCATTTGGGCGCAACGCCACTATCTGTGCAACATCCTCGACCCTTAGCTCCCGCTTTATATGACCTTCGACCGCACTCTTGAGGTTATCGAAAGTGGTTGCTAGATGTTTTCGTGTAGAGCAGAATGTATAGACTAGATTCAATGCCCGATGCGTCTTCTCGAGAGTTTGAAAAGAGAGCGGCCATGGAATGGTACTAGTTACCGGATTCGTGAATGAAGATTCATTTCGAGCGAGCGCAGGCGTGGCTTTCCCCTTCAATACCCGTCGAGATTTTTTCCCACCATCATTTTCTTTCGTGGGAACAGTGACACTTTCAGTTGTCGCAGATATTCCTTGATCCTGCTCGACCGCGGATTCGAGGGGCGTGGGCGAGGTAGCATCTAAATGCGCATCTTCGGTGTCTTTCCGTTTGCGCTTCCGAACTGGCCTGTTGGAAACTGTTGCAGCTTGTAATTTGGCCATGTTTCAGGCGTTTTTGGCAATAGCTTTCACATGATGTTAATTTCAAGGGAAAAAGCGTAAATGGGTGGCGTTCTGGCGGTCGCGCTACTAAAACGCGGTATCACGTTATCACGCTCAAGCTGATTGTCTCTTGATGACATAATCAAGTCTCACATAGAAGTTCCGTCCTTTTCAACGTTCTTGATTTTGAATCTTATGTGGTAGACATTTTAGGTATTCCTTGCACAAACCACACAGCACCAATCCATCAATTATGTACTGATTCCTCAAGAAAAATATACAAAGACATAACCTGCGACGTCACTCAAAAATTCTTCATTCTTTCGAATCCCACAAACACCAATCCAAGTAATTTCAACCTCACATACAGCATATACAGCAAATCCCAAAACCCCAAAACCCTATCACTCTCCCTCTCCCTAAACTTGATCTTTAACTCATCTACCTAGCAATCATAATCTCTGGAATGAAGTTTCTCCATGCAATCTTTCATAGCGCGCCCACTTAGTCTTTACCCAGTCATTTTCACATAACCTCTACAAGCGTGTGTCTTCGGTTAATTCAAGGGGAACAGTTTTTGAATTAGTGATTACTTGTTCGTTCGATGGATCTTACTATACTATAGTATCAATGCATGAAGTGCTGCTAGGAGATAGATTATTTGAGAATGGACCGGTTCGATGTATAATCCATATGGGAAATGAAAAGTATGTGGTAGTGATTTATCGTTGATTGATACTTGTCATATATCATATGGAAAAATCCTCACGGAGAAGATAAGTGTGGCTATTCGAGAGATTTATACTTGCTTGAAATTATGAGAATAGAAAATGGTGGAGAGGATCGGAGAAGAATAGTTGAAGTCCGTATCATGTTACTGATTCTTGTTCGAGGAGGTTTTTTATCCACGTAAAAATGATTTTGTTTTCAGAAATCTGGTATAAGTATTAAGCACATTGTTTGGAGATACTTGAGTAAAGAAAATTTCGAGAAGTAAAGTAATAAAGTTCAAGACCAATTAGCTACGTCCACTCCATGCCAGTTTGCCATTATTCCTAGCGATTCGTTCGTATTGCACCGGTATCACCAACTCGTTTCCCTGTTCAAACTCCAAATCCATTATCCAAGCCATAACATCATGTAAAGACTGAGATAAGCAATTCCGTTCCAGCAGAGTTGATTCATTAGTAGAGAAATTGAAGAATAATAAAACTCGTAACTTCTGTTAAAACATGCCGCATTACAAACAATCTTAGTCAACCCTCCTGCATGGTTCCATCGTGAGCAATTTAGAAATGTAGAACAAAGTTGACCCAAACACAGCGTACTGTTACTCGAGTACACGAAGAGAGAGCGGGGAAAAGGGGTAAGGAGATGGCTCGGTTGGTTCGGCGATGCACATTCTTAATAGAGCCAGACTAGTCTTCACGTCAGCCTTCGCCCAAATCCTTGCTTTCCCAAGTTACATACCTCGCTCTTCCTCTTTTTCCATACCACTACTCCCCCAATCCCGTTATCACAAACTCAATCTTCCCATTCCTTCTCCCAATTCGCTTTCACACTCGCAACAAGCCTGGTTCAACGGCAATATCTCCCACACAAGTTCTTCTAATCCTCTGGGGCACGTCAAATAGTTTGATACATCGTATCCTGAGCATGGTGTATGTATTAGCAAGCTGTTAATATTAGTCGTGACTCAACTCCCACAACTAACCTGGACAAAAATCGATTTCCTTCAGGATAACATGTCTAGGTGGGTGTGTGAGTTGCAAGGGGACGAATTGGGATTGGCAATAGAGAGAAGGGAAAGGCTGGATATGGCGGATGCACATTTTAAAAAGATGATGTGAGGAATAGAAGGGTAAAGAAGGAAGTATATAAGAATGGAAGATGGCATTTAAAGCGAGGAAGTTGAATTTGGGACCTGAGAAAAGAGCGGAATATCCCAACGAATATGCTTTAAGATGACGCGAATGAAGGAAATTAGACCTCGTCGGCGTGCAGAATCTGACGATATGGCATCTGAATGCCTAACGTTCTATTTTATTGTTGCCAGAAATGAGCTCTGCTCAAGGCTGTTGCAATAGATTGAGTTGTAGGTGAAATTGACAATTGACGAAAGAAGAAGGAAATGCAATTGCGCGCCGTCATTTATATATTCATCTTCTCTTTGTGTCAAATGAATATCTCAAATCATTGTCAACTACTACAGTTCGTAACTCACACCCCATGATCCAAAGTTCAATATCGGATACATTTATCATCGAGGAATGTGGAACGGGGTCTATGGGGTAGGAGTGGCTGGCGAGAAGCGAGAGAAGCTGATACCAGTTGACCGATGATTCAACGGGATGTCGCGTTAGCAACGAGATGCATCTTTTGATCAGTTCTTGCGTGGCTTCGTGTGGAGATCTATTGTTTCGGCTGAAAATATGATATTCTGTTTCAGAATAGAAGTTTCAGAGAAAGTGAGAACCTTTCAAAAAATGAGATGCAGCTTTCAATCACTTGTCATATGAGTTCATTCTGGCGCATATGTCCTGCCTATCGCGAACTCCTTTCCTGCAGGCGCTAAATCCAGGTTGCACCCTTTATTATAAGGGACTACTAAGATCTTCCTATCTCTTCGTTTCTCCACTGAACATGTCATCGGCCACCATTGAGATGAGACCCCCGAAGGTAAAATGTCAACTCTGCTTCCAAATCGTGATTCAGCTTTTGGTAACTGAATTTGTTGGTGCTGGACCGGAGTATATTTAAATATAAACAACGTTTGGTAATATTGAAAGACTAAATGCGCCACGTGTCGGTTGCCAGACCCTCACATCCACTATTTTGGTCATTCCGTTATCTCCACTTCGACAACGGTATCGAGACTGGGGAACCTGATGCCACTAGACCCTCACTTCCACCAGCCTAGTTGTTTCACATCCGCACCATCGAAGGCCAGGAGCATGTTATGGAAACATGTTCAACTAATAAGAATGGGCCTTCACTCCCGGTGTTGTGGTTGTTTCATAAGCTGGCGTCCGCCCTATCCATAGCAATGAATAGTGTTTGGACGATTGGATAATTCAAAGCAATTGTACGGCGTAGTAATCTCAGGTAGAAGGAATGTGGTCCGATTTGAGAGGTTTCTCTGTGGATCAAATGGCGTAAACTAATATTTGAGTGAGGTGAAGATTGGTTTCTTTAAGAGCAAGCAGTAGCTGATCTCCTTGCTTCAGCAGAATCAAAAAATAACAAGTATCTACCCTTGTATCATATGAGACATCATCACTCAAATGTCCGCAATCAATTTGAGCGCCCAATTTCTTTATTCGCGAGGGTTTAAGATTTCGGCAAAATGACCCATAAGCCATCGCTGAGAGCAAGCTTGTAACAAGCGTCACGAGACCTGCCATATTGATTATTGATTATTGGAAACTCTATAAGGTGTGAATAACTTGCACTTTAATGCGAGCAATAGTAACGGCTACCAAGTCGTAAAGGTACGCCAAAGAAGCGGACATCTCCGATCTCTCTTGAAATATTATTCCAACAACTGGAACATCTGGAGCATCGTGGCACAGAACAAGTACATAACCGACATCTTTGTGTAACCACTCACAAAGGGGGAAGCTTTCGACACTCCACTTAGAGCGAGGATATCCTGGTAGGACCACAGATACTTAACTCTACGGTATATGGAAGCAACTTGCCGCAAGTTATACAGCGTGTAAGCAACCAACATGAACAGAGCTCCGTCGTGATTGGTGTTTGTACTCCAAATTTACATTGGATTCGTGGTGAGGCTCAATATTGGATGTGTTGTGATACCTATCATTGAACTCAGTATTGGATAGACAGAGAACCTGCATTGAAAGATAGAAGCGGCCCCCAGATCCGAAAGTTTATGGATGCTGTTGCGTTGTTGCACCAAAAGAACATGGAAGTCAGTGATCCTCGAACCAGATTCTTCCAATCGTAACAATACGGGGAAGTCTGCACGCAATAAGAAAGCAGAACTTGCAGTTTCGACTTCACTGATGTGTGGCAGTACATTTACTACAAAAAGATGACTTGCATCGACGTTGGTGATCATCATCAATTATTTTGAACGAACCTTTTACGGCAAGATGTCCGTTTCGCTTGGCGGGAAGACGGGTAACCTAAAGTCAAACTTTAGTTCAGCCCACTTTTAACTTATCAAAGGACAGCTTCTTCCTCTCAACGCCATAAACTCCCCTTGATAAAATAACATCTTTGAATATTCACGATATTGTACATACGGATAGTGCAAATATGGGAAGTATGGGATCCGAACAACAAAAAGTCAACGTCTGGTTAGATTGTGATCCAGGTGAGTTTGTTATCCCAAGATGAAACCCCCTCGATATCGGAACCACCCACTTACACTTTTTGCAGGCCACGATGTAAGTCTTATATCCACCTTCTTACATCACATCTTCGTGTCTGTCACTGCGACGCATGTTGGATGCATAGAATGAGAGAACATGGGATGTTTTAGAGTTCAATAAACTTCCTGTGCATTGCAGTTATGCAAAAACTAGAGTTGTTGAAATGGATTTATGTAGTCACATGATCCATTCTCCAGAAATAAGAAGTTAAGAATCGTTGATTCGAGACAAGGATTATTCTGAAAAACAGAATAAATTAGCTAATTAAATCAATAGGATGCATTTGCGATCCTTCTCTCAGCCTATCACCCCTCTCTGAATCTTTTAGGAATCTCCACCGTTCACGGGAACTCCTCTATCAACCACACAACGTACAATGCCACCTCTCTCCTCACAGCCATATCGGCAACTCACATCCCCGTTTACCGGGGCTCAGGAGCCGGATTAGTACGCCCGGGTGTTCACGCCCCAGCTATTCATGGAGAATCTGGTTTGGAAGGAACAGATCTTTTACCAACACCAGCTAAAGGGCCAGTTGATGAACCTGCTATTGATGCTATGGCCAAGGCGTTATTTGCTACCCCGGCAGGCTCGGCATGGGTTGTTGCTACGGGTGCACTAACAAATATTGCCTTGTGCTTTCAGAAGTATGAGGGATTGGCTGAGCATGTCAAGGGCGTCAGTATTATGGGTGGTTCTGTCGGGAACGGATTCACAAACGCGGTATTGGGGCAAGTCGACCACAAAGAACGGATTGGAAATTGGAGCGTCTGGGCCGAATTCAACATCTTGGTTGATCCTGAAGCCGCAGCATTTATTTTCGATCACCCAGTTCTGAAAACGAAAGCGGTCCTGATACCATTGGATATCACTCATCAAGTTTTAGCCACGAAGGAAGTGCAGGATATGTTGAAGAATGGAAAGGAAGGAAAGGAAAATACTACGTTGAGGACAATGTTGGTGGAGTTACTCACTTTTTTCGCCGCTACTTATGATAGAGTTTTTGGAATCAGTGAGGGACCACCATTGCATGATCCTTTGGCGGTGGCCGTTATCATGGATGGAATGTCGGGTGCGGAAATCCCGTTTTATGACTTTAAAGATGGAAGGAAGAGGGAGAGATTCGAGGTAAAGGTTGTTACTGAAGGAAGTCATGATGATGCCCAAAAAGGATCGGAGACCGGTAGAACGATTGTTAAATTACTTCCCGAAAGAGAGGAGGGAGTGAAGATTCCAAGAGGCCTGGATATCAAGAGGTTTTGGGATGTAGTAGAAGATTGTCTAGCTAGAGCTGATGCCGCGAATAAGGCAAACGGGATCGAATAGATAAATAGAAATTTAGAGATATTTAATTCCAGGTTGTTATGCTATGATCTTGAGATCTGTCTACCCATAATTTATAACTCCAAGACACGCTTCTTACGCCTTCAAATGCCACCGTTCTTTAATCCAGACTTAACGCCGTTCGCATAGTAATGTGTTTCGATGTTGTAACAAGAAAATCAAAATCACTCCTTCACATCCTCTGTTGGCAAGGCATCTTCCGTAGTTGCGGTATCCTTCGCATCATTTTTAGCTTTTGGCTCCCCATCGGCATCAAACCCAAGCTGATCCAATTCCCTGATCAACTCATTGATCTTGATAACCTTGGCAAATTGCTCTGGTAGCAGTTTTGCACCGTCTTGTTGACTTTTTTCCTTCAATTCCTTGGCCTGCTTTAGTTTCTTCTTCAAGTTCCTAGCTTTCTTTTCCCTCTCCGCTTCCAGATCAACCTCTTCTTTCTTTTCCTCTTCCCCTTCCACATTTTGCTTCCCTTCCCTCCAGTTATCCGCTTGACTTCCCTTCAGATCCCCATTTCCGTCCTTTGCATTTTCAGCAGCCTTCTTCCTCGCCTCTCTCCTCTTTGCATTTTTGTTGCTAGCTGCTGACCCCGCTGTAGGTGATTCGTCTTTTAAACTCTCGGCACCAGGTGGACCTCTACTAGCACGATTCTTGAAGTTTTCTGCTGTGCGGTTTTTGTATACTTCGACATCCTCGGGGGGCTTGTACCCTGGACGGATTTTTATTTCTTTGCGTTTTGTACCGTCGGCGCGCGTGGAGGAGGGAATGTGACGATCGCCCGTTTGAGTTTCGACAATGCCGGCTTTGGAGGGGGTGGGGACAGATGGCATTTTTTGAGTTTGAGGGACGAGGCCCTTAGGTTGGGGAGAAAATCTCTATGATGAGGATAGAGATGAATATATAGATATGGATTTTGAAAAATGTTGAGTCTAAAAATTGGTGAGGCACGTTGGTTACTGTTAGAGATAAACTTTGAACTTTATCAAACTTTACTAGAATCGCTATGAGGCTGTCGTGCCAAAACTGTTACCCAATCATAAGCCGGTCCCGCCCAAAGCTCTCAACCAATCAAAAGCTCTTTGATATGACCATCGGAATTTCACGTTGTTTTATCCCGGCTCAGCCAAAATTCGTCCGATTGCCCTACAACTTCAATTTACGGAATCACTGCATTCGATAAGCTGTCTATAATCTGCGACCAAAACTGATTAATTCGCCATGGTATGTTGACTAGAAGGGGCATTCTCGAAGCGTCTGGAGTTGTGCTAATGGGTGAAATTGCAGTCTTCCGCAAGCCGTCCTCTTTACAAGTTAGTTACTCTTTCGATGCGATGCTATGCGATGCGCCCACCACCACGACATTTGTTATGGTGAGGGTGATCTGGAGATCGAAGGGCTAATGAAGATTGGAATATAGCTTCCTCTTCCGAAAGAACTATGTGTTCCTCGGTGCAGTGTTTGGTGCTGCTTTTGGATTCGAGATGTATGTTTACATGCATTCGGAATACCTGGAAAGGGACTTGAACTGATGTACGTTAGGGCATATGATTCAATCACAGACCGAGTTTGGGACTCTATAAACAAGGGAGTAAGTTGTATTGCTAGAGAAGAAGTTAGGAAATGTGCTGATCACCGAGAAAGCGTCAATGGAAGGATATCAGAGCGAGATATGTTGAGGCTGCGGACGACGACGAATAGAGGGGTTTCGGTATAGATGGATGTGAGAGGAAAGAATCACGCCTTGATGGGGATACTCGGTTGTTAGAAAAAAGAATCGGGGCGTCAGTATTGGGCAGGAAGCCTTCATTGAAAGTGTACAAAAGACAATCGACAACATAGAATCATACGGGCATAAAAGCAAGATCACAGACTGGTACAACGATGACATTGCTTTCTGGTACTCTTCTCCATTAAGCTCGTGACAAGAATGAGACACCTTTCTCGAGTGTAAGATCTCCAAGTATTAAATTTGCGACTTTCATATTCAAGAGTGCTGTGGGAAATGATTTCGTTCTTCTTACCCATCTGGACAATCATGCATCACCAAAGTCAAGTTGAAACATTGAAGACTCTTGTATGGCATCTGCATCTGAACGGCGAACGACTTCATGAATCTACGTTCAAATACAACAACACCATACCTTGATATAGCCATATGATCGATCTAATTGTAGGATTTTAAGCCCAGACGTCAGATGCTAAGTTGTGCGGGTTGGTCTTTGTGGAAGCTCATGAAATGAAACACTTCCCCGCCGCAATTCATCCATCCTCCACAAATAAATCAAAACCTTTACAACGTCACCTATCTAAGTACCCATATACTTACAGTTTATATTGTGTATTATAAATCAGACTATACCCACCTTGACATATAATTCTCTCATCACACTTGAAGTCTCTGGAGCTGAAGGATTATATCTATACCAACACGCACTCACCTCGCCTCCTTTGCGGAAACTGCGATACCGATAACGATTCTTTATCAATGAACAAGCACACCACCACCATCATATAGTCAACGCACACCAATTTGAGCAGGAGACAGGAACTTCTTCGTCTTGTTAGTTCCATAGAGGTATGGCGGAAGAATCTATGCCATCGAGGCAGCTCTGCGACTTTCTGAAAACATTGCCCCGCGTCCACCAGAACCGCTACACAGAGGCAGCGGAGCGCGATTTACTACAAAGTCTCTTCTGGTCATTGGCCGGCGGACAAAAAGAACACTTGAACCTTTTCTTTCCAGAAAACTCGAGGCCATTAGCTAGTGAAGTATGGAAGTTGAGGAAAGCGCAAGGAGGAACCGATGGCGACGAATTTACAGAGGCGGCTCGAGGGAAAGTCTGTGGACATATATTCAAGACAGGAGAAGCTACATACCGATGCAAAACTTGCAGTTCCGATGACACATGCGTACTCTGCAGTCGATGTTATGATTCCTCTGATCATACGGGCCATATGGTATACGTGAGTGTATCCTTGGGCAACAGCGGATGTTGCGACTGTGGAGATCCAGAAGCATGGCGTCTACCAGTACATTGCTCAATACATACAGCACATGGACCTGGTGTAGAAGGCGAAGACAAAGGCAAAGCAGCAAGTCTGCCGGATGAATTGGTGGAAAGCATTCGAATGACCATTGGACGGGCTTTTGATTATATTTGCGATGTTATATCATGTTCGCCAGAACAGCTGCGATTACCCAAATCAAAGGAGTCGATACAACAGGATGAGAGGAGGTCGCGATTGACTTCGTCTTACTATAATGGAGATATCGTTGAGGATCCATGTGAATATGCACTTCTTCTTTGGAACGACGAGAAGCACACTGTCAATGAGGTTCGAGACCAGGTAGCAAGAGCTTGCAAGGTAACCAATGCGGAGGGTATGCAGCGAGCGCATGAAACTGATGATATTGGTCGAAGTGTCATCAAATATGATCACGACATTGACAAGCTTTTGAGAGTCTCAAGGGTTGTGGAACAGATCAAGGTCACAGTTACTATCCGTTCTGCTCGGGATACCTTCAGGGAGCAGATGTGTGGAACTATCATTGAATGGCTCAGTGACATTTCTGGTTGCAGTGTCGGTCCAGACCACAACATATTACGTCAGGTGGTTTGTGAAGAAATGCTCAAGGAGTGGAATCGTGGAAGTGAAGCTAGTAATGCAGACATAGGATTGAAGGGTATTGATGATCACGAAAGAGAGGAGATGTTGTGGTCAGATGCTGAAAATCGTGTGCTGAGACATATTATAACAACAGATCGTCGAACTCAGGCTATGGCAGTAATGGCCGCCGTCGCTGCCACTGATTCAGACTCCGACGATACTGACAACGGAGATGATGATGACCTCAATGAAGCTAACATTGTTCGTATGCTTGAAAATGCAGATGAAGACGCCTCCAGTGATGAAGAAGTAGAACTTGTTCGTTTTGATCCGGCAGAGCCAACGGAGATAAGAATTATACAGCCGACCAGACAACCAGTTCCGGCACCTCAGCAGGAAACCCAAACTGGAACAGAGACCGATAACGATGGAGATGTCGATATGATCGGTGGAGACGATGAGGCGTTAGAGGTACAAGAAGCTACCTTGGCTGGATATCCACCTCCACCTCCACCTCCTCCGCCTGCGCCTGCGCCTCAAAGAGTCATCAGAGATCGTGATCTGACACCGTCAGATTCCGATACTGCGGAAATGCAACCTCTCATATCAGACAACCTTTATGCAAAAGCCAAGATGGAGATTCCCAAGACTCCAGCGAATCCAGTAAAGAAGGAAATCGCAAAACCAGCTAGATACTGGCTTGAAAGTCCTCCTGGCTACACGGACAGGGAATCTGTACCTCTACACGAGGATTTGTGGCACAAATTACGATTAGACTGGCTAATTTTGTTCGACTTGAGGATGTGGAAGAAAGTTCGAGTTGATCTTCGTGAACTATACATCTCGACAGTAGTATCGATTCCAGAGTTCAAACGTGTGCTGGGTTTACGCTTTTCAGGCCTTTACACGACTCTCGCGCAACTTTATTTGATTGCCGACAGGGAACCAGATCACTCAATTATCAACATTTCTCTACAAATGTTGACAACGCCATCTATTACTGCTGAGATCGTGGAAAGGGGGAACTTCCTGACCAATTTAATGGCGATTCTATACACCTTCCTTACCACGCGACAGGTTGGACATCCTTATGAGATCTTTCCAAATGCTACTTTGGCTTTTGACTCAGGCTCTGTAACAAATCGAAGAATGTACCACTTTTTCATGGATTTGAAATATTTATTCGGTTCGGAGCACGTACAAGAAAAGCTACGCACGGAAGAAAGATATATGCTGCAGTTTTTGGACTTGGTCAAACTCCATCAAGGTATTTGTCCAAATGTCAGGGCTGTTGGTGAACATGTAGAATATGAAACGGATGCTTGGATTAGTGCATCTTTGATCACACGGGAGATCAATCGGCTGTGTAGACAATTCTCCGAGTCTTTCAAGTGGGTTCCTGGCGAATCGACAGAACCTGTCTGCAGGGCAATTCGAACTGCAGCAAAGGCAGTTATTCTCAGCTCTTTGGGCACTGAGAGAAAGCGATTTACTCAGGCTGAGATCAAGGACGAAATCAAATTCAAGAAAGTGGGTGATTACGAATTCGATACAACCGAACAATCGAACAGCGTCGTTCAACATTCAGTCGTCAAATTTGTGGTAGAGTCTCAACCTATTAGTTTTCATCATGCTCTCCACTATACTCTATCTTGGCTCATTGAGTGTGGAAAGAGTATGCCTCGGGAAGAGCTTATCCAACTATTAAGTTTTACTACACAAGAACTTCTTCAAAAGCCTAAGCCCATGGGACAACGAACTATGCCAAGTCAAGAATACTCCCCAGAAGATCATTTAATGGCAGCGTTTGATTATCCTCTGCGAGTATGTGCGTGGTTGGCGCAAATGAAAGCTAACATGTGGGTTCGAAACGGTATGAGTCTTCGTCACCAACAAGGTACATATCGCGGAGTTACTCTACGTGATGTATCCCACCACAGGGATATCTTCCTTCTTCAAACCGCCATGGTTGTATGTTCACCAGCTCGTATGCTCGTTTCAATCATTGATCGATTTGGTCTTGAGCAATGGATGAAAGGGTTGTATGAAGCGAAGTCAGATGGAGTTGATGATGGTCAGATCCTTGATATTGCGGAAGATTTGATCCATCTTCTCATTGTTTTGATTAGCGACAGGACGTCCTTGGTTTCGAATGATGATGACCCTGGTTCTCATGTAATGGCTATGCGTCGAGACATCGCCCATGTACTTTGCTTCAAACCACTATCATTCACAGAGATTTGTGGCAAGCTACCCGATAAGTTTCAAGACCAGGAAGAATGTCAAGATATCCTTGATGAGATGACAAATTTCAAATCGCCCGAAGGACTTAATGATGTCGGAACCTTTGAGCTTAAGGAACAGTATTTGGAGGATATCGATCCTTACATCGCTCACTATAGCAAAAACCAACGAGAGGAATCTGAAAATACTTACAAAGCTTGGGTAGCTAAGAAGACAGGCAGACCACTTAGCGAAATTGTCTTTGAGCCTAAACTACGCTCCATTGAGTCTGGTGCGTTCTCAGATCTCGCGGCTTTCACTCGAACAGGCATTTTTGCTCAAATCATCTACTATTCTCTTCTTCATCCTTTAATGGCGGACAAGCTCACGCCTACTGTACCTGTAACACGTGTGGAGGCCTTTTTGCACGTAGTCCTGCATCTGGTTCTTATTGCCGTATCTGAGGATAGGACAGACGAGGATGAGATGTCAGAAGAGTCTCTTGAGTCGTTCGTCTACATTGCGCTCACCAGCAATGCACGAAGCAATTTCTTACCTAGCTCTCCAGCCTCAAAAACAATTGTTGCTATTCTGGAAATGTTGTCACGAAAAGAGGAATTTAAAAGTTGTCACCCGAAGATTACTCTGGTGTTGAAGAGAATGAAACAGAAGCGACCTAGAAATTTTGAGACTGCATTTTCGCGATTAGGTGTTCCGGTCGACAGGATTTCTACGGCTTCTCCCGCAAACAACAATGCACTTGAAGATAAGGAGAAGAAGAAGCAAGCTGCATTAGAACGTCAAAAGACGGTGATGGCACAGTTTCAACAACAGCAAAAGAACTTCCTCGACAATCAAGGTGATTT